GTGGGTGGGCCCCAGTGCGGTATAGTTATGGGAATCACATTGGCTCATGCTTTGTCACGTGATCATTTTCATACAAATTCGTTTGGCGTTAGTGGGTCACGCCTGTCGAGAAGTGACTTTGTCTTAAGCCCTTTATTTATCCATTCTGTGGGCTTCAGACATGCTTTTTTTCAAACCGTCCACATGTTTATCATGTAAATATAAATTTTGCGATTTATTTTGATTGATTTATTAAGAAAATTAATAATTTAATAAAAATTCTTAATATTCTCACCTTAACATAATATCTAACAGTAGAACTTATGGAAAACAAAATGATCAGAAGGGCCATAACACAGCCAAGTACAACGTCGAAGGCAGCCATTTTTAAAAGTGAATCGTCACATTTATGTATACCTGAAAAAAATTTATTTACAGTCAGTTAGAAATTTGAGGAACTTCTCGAATCTATTAATATTGTTAGATAATATAGTGTTTCTATAAGAAAAACATTGTAGATAACGGGATCAATCTGAATTCTCTAATCTGAGCCCAAGACTCGTTTCCGTAAACAAACTTACACCTAACGATCCGTTATAAGAGGCATCTATACATATTATACGAGTAGTTACCAATAAGTATGACCTGGAAATAATAAAAAAACAACTTTATCATTATCATTACTGAAATAAATCGATTAATTCATTTAGGAGCCACGCTACATCAAACATAGTAACATGTGTATGTCATTTCTAAATCTGATTAATATTAATTGTTTGAAACTTTGAGGCCATTCCAGAACGTCAATCAAACTTAAATCTAGTTTCAGGACCTGTAGAACCATTTTTCTGTATAGAGTTTGACATATTTGACAGCACTTAAGACGAGCCTATGACTTGAGAAACTTTTAGAATATGGACCTGAGTTTGATAACTTTTTTTAAACTATTATTACAGTTCTTTAATCTACGGATCCGAACCGTCAGATTTAAAAATACTTACAGAATTTTCACATTATTTAAAATTGTTTTAAAAATTAATTTCAGAAAAGCAAAACTGATTTCACAATAAGTGTGCAAATCTAACACAATTCGATATTTTAAACCGTCTTTAATATGCCATAATTTATTATTACTACAATTTTCATTAAATAATGACAGTGTTGACTTTCAGATATTGACAACAACTTTCATTACAGACAAAAAACTTGATTTTATTTTAGGTATAGAACTATTATATTAATCCTCTGTATATGTAAAAATTTCCAGCGGAAGCTTGCAAGTTTTATGTTTCTACAAGATCACTCGGGCTTTGTATTTGAAAGTGGAATCTTCGTTACAGTTAATTTTAATTTTAGCTCAATTTAAATAACTGTGAATCGTGAAATTTAAAGGCATTTTAATAGGCTAAACGAATTTTTTATGTTCTTTCATTGTTAAAAAGTATTTAATTTTTTCGTACTACTTCACTTCACCTAGACTTAGTCGTTTCAGCTAATTAGATACCTATTAACAGGTCCTGGGTAGATTCCCAGCGAAACAATAAATCGCAGGTTCTTTGTTGCTCATTGAGGGCAGGATATTATTTTCAAAATCAAAAATGATTAAATTTATTGGATTATACGTGATCACCTACGAACGTCACTAAAAAGCTAGTTTAAAGTTATGTCTAACAAACATTTTGTTATTATTACTAATATTTAAAAATATGTATGTGAAAACGAAAAACCTACAAAATTCATAATTCTATTTAATTATTCTAATAAAACTCTAAGTTTATGATATCTTATTTTTTATCACGTTTCTCTTTATTTAATTAACACTGTTAATTAAATAATCGCAGCCTATAAAATATGTCTTAATTAATTTTTGTCGAGTAATAGACCTCGACAACTTTCTGACACGTACCTAGGCCAGTAAGTAAGTAAGTATTATTCTAAGAATATTAAGCTGTGAGTTTGACACACAATTCCTTAATAAAACATACAAAATCATCATTGATTGATCTTATAGTCATAGTTCAGTGTGTTTAGATCTAGTTCCTAAGTCCTAACTATATTTATGATACCCTTTCGATAACCTTCGTTAAATAATTTTCTATATCGACAGGATACTTGTGACTAAAATTAAACAGTAAGTCATAAGAATTTAAATCAATAAATTAAGTGATTAAAGAATTGTAAGTTGATGAAAAATTTAGCCAACCATATAAAGTATTTTTAAGCAGGTATCTTCAACAATCAAAACTATGTGAAACTAGTACAGAGTGGACGCAAAACATACGAGTATATACATTTCAAATATGAACTTACGTAAAATTCCATAATGATTGATTTTTATAAATTACTAGCTGACCTGGCAAACGTCGTTTTGCCATGTATAAATTTAAATGATTACAATAAAAAATAGGGGTTGATCGTAGAGGGGTGAAAATAGGGGTTGTATGTATTTTTTAATGCTGTATCATAAAAAAACTAAAAATTTATCTAATAATTTTAAAAAAATTATTAAGGAGTTAGGGGACTACCCTTAACATTTAGGGGGATGGAAAATAGATGTTATCCGATTCTCAGACATACCCAATATGCACACAAAATTTCATGAGAATCGGTCAAGCCGTTTTGGAGGAGTTTAACTACAAACACCGCGACACGAGAATTTTATATATTAGATGTAGCCTTAATTGCTATTGGTAAGCTATTGAGATCGTCTTAAGAGTATCTATAATTTTCAATGCCAAAAAAATAATTTCAGCTTTAGTAATAAATTATTGTACATAGAAAAAAACAAAAAGCATTAGTTACCAATTTGGACACTGAACGGCTAGGCATCGCCCAATTTTTCAACAGATATAATAATGAGAAAGGTACTCAGCATGAAACTAAAAATCCATATTCATAAGTTTAATATTTATGTTCTCATAAAAAGTAATGATAAATTTATTAACATGAAAATTTAAAACTTTTTCTAAAAGCAAATTATAGTTTTAATAATAATTTAGAAAAACTTACTTACATGGAAATATTGCCTTCTTAAATACGCTGGTAGTGAAAGTATACGAAATTTTTATGGACTACGTTCACTTTAAACTTAAGAAGTTTGAGACGTGCATTTCATACCTTATTCCGATAACACTGGCGACTGGCGTATTAGTAGTTCAATCGCAATACTGACGAACGCACACCACTATCTTACTGACTCGGCGCAAATGACTAATGAGGATAACTCCGAAGAGTGAGGCCCATTGACTGAGGCCACTCTGATCTAAATTTTCATAATAAACACGCTAAATGCTACATGTACGGTCCGGAATAAACAAAATAAATGATAAGACTCGAACGCATAATTACTGTTTTTTTAAATATCTGCTACCCACTACCCATAGATACGAGTAAGCATAATTTCCCGCCATTCTGCGCCCTTTCAATAAAATTATTCATTTTGCATATTAGTAGGTAAATTGGTAACATTTGTGTTACAGTTAAACGAGTAAGTAAATATTTATGTACCTTTCAACTTAGTTTTAGGTAAGCTTTACTCTAATTTTGTTTATTACTTGGTAGCTCAAATCTAAATCAAAGCTACCACAGTCCACAGCTTTATCTTGTAACCCAATACATTATCATCTAGTTCTAGAACTTTGTGTTAATTATATAGTTATTTAGAGTTATTAAGAGAGAGAAATATTAAGAGCCCTACATTACTACTTACTGAATAACAACTAACTTCTCATAGACGCGTAAACAGCGGTTTGTAAAATCAATCTACAAGTTGCCACAATAATTATAAGAGATTTATGATTCAATTTGAGTTATTATGTTAAAATAAGATTTTATAACAAAGAAAACGAAATGTTTATAAACATTTTAATTAAATATCTTTATTTTTATTAATAGATTATAACTTATACAAAATATGACTAAAATGTGCAAAATTTACAAATTTCTAAAATACAATAAATATTTGTTTTATTTATAAGTTGATGAAAGCTTGCTTTGTTGTGCCATGCGAAACTGTAAAGATAACATCAAAACATCTTTTTCTTCATTGCCGTATATCTTTCTGTATACTCATTATATCCTTCCACCGCAGCTAATTGTTTTGATTCAAACAAATTTCCATCTACATTGAGTGTGTGAATTTTTGAATCTCTCAATAGGCTTGGCCGTATTGTATCCAAGCAAAGACAATTCTCTTCTAATTTCAATATCTTAAGTCTTGGTGCTTCATGTAAATCTTCAGAAAGAACAGAGATTTCATTTTGACTTAGATTTAACTCCATTGCATGAAAATTTGCCATGCCACTTGGAATCTCAACAATCTTGTTATAAGATAGATCCACTACCTCCAGATTTTTAAGTCCAATCAATGGTTTTGGAAATTGTTTAAACTTATTGTTATTTAAATATATTTGTTTTAAATTTGACAATTCAGCAATTGGGTGGGGCAATAACTGTATATAGTTATGGGAAACATTTAACAATTCCAGTTTTTTTAGATTTGCTAACGTACTAGGTAAAACTTGAATAGAATTGTCACATAGATTAAGTTGTTTTAACAACTTAAACTTTGTTATATCGTCAGAAATACATGAAATTTTGTTCTTAGATAAGTCCAAATTCCTTAAACTTTCTGATAATTTGTAAACTTCTGTAGGTATTTCTCTCAATTTTGGCTTATTATTAGATATTTGTAGTACTCCAGTCTTCGATGCAGTTTCATAGTGTTGCTTTAGACCTGCATTCCCCATAATTCTTGACAGTTAAAAAAAGTGATTATAAATGTTAAGTTTATTACCTTATCTGAGAGAAAAATAAAATAATTTAAACATGACAACTTTTTACTGTAATAACCTGTTTAATATCGTGAGAAATCTTCAGATTGTATTACTTGAAGAAGTGCAGATTTTTTTGACTCAAACTAATTAACGATTTTTAATTCTTAGTAATTCCCCTGTGAATAAAATCTTTACTTTTCCCTTTGATAAATATTTACTGTCAAGTGTCAGTGTCATAGACTCATTATATATAGCCATATAGGGTAGTAACTGGGTTGTCTCTGTCAATTGATTATGGCAAGTATAATTTGCGACTTTTTAGCTACTGTGGTTCTATTCTATACCAAAAACATTAAACTTAACTCTTTACTGTATTAAATTAAACCTTCTGTAGTCTATTAAAATTTAGTTCTCCTGCCCCTAGAAATCCAAGAATCAGTCCTAGTATTTTAGATAAATTACACAAATTGATAAAAAAACTTATTTTGTTTACTTAACAAAAATAATTTATTGTCTTGACTCCAAAATGTTTATTTTATATTGTTATATTCATTCATGTTAAGTTGTGTTTCAAGTATTTTAACCGCGGGAAAATTACTCGACGTTTGACTACTCTAATGGCCGCAGTAGCGCCAATGCGTGTAGTGTTTGTTACCTAAAATGAATTTAGAATTGTGTTAGACGTTTATTTATTCTACCTCTTTCATACTTTTAAGTGTGGAAATGGATATTAATGCTGGTAAGTCCACCTTCACTATATTGGTTTTAATTGTTACCCGTTTTAGATCGAAAACTACACGTACGAGTGAACTTATGTTTCAATTTCTAGTTATCAGTATAAAATACACTGAAAAAACGACTTTCTTTAACCTAGACAATAAATCCGAATATCAGTTTGTAGTCGTTGCATTAGACGATCCAAAATTCTGTAATGGGCTTAATCTCTCATCGTGTTTTGGGAGTTAAGATTATTGAGTACAAAAGGTATTTCTACTTAACAGATCAGTTTGAGTGTATGAATCTCATAAACTATCATTTTTATCTGCTCCATGTAATTTCGTGAAATCTGACTGATACTATTGCATCTCTTTGTAAGTGGGTTCCATGTACATAGTAAATAAAGTAGGTAATGAAATTTTGGACTATAAAATAAAAATAATCGTATTATATATACCTACGTTATCTTATAATGATTGCCTTTTAATTTAAATGTTCTGGGAGCTCTAACCATTTTTGTTTATAATACATTTTTGATACTGCATAGCTTTATTTTTATATCAAAAATATTTGCATTAGAATTAATAACTAGTTTATTTGTTTATTGCATGCAACTGGATATTTATTTTAATGTAAGTATATATTATTATATAGATTATTCTGTATTTATTTTAAAGAAATATATTCTTTTCTAAGAATACAATATTAAAAATCTAAATCTACTCAAATTTTCAAAATTCATTCATTCACAAACTCCTAGTAAAATACTCTATTTTGGTTATGAGTGATTATTTTAAATACTTGTATCTTGTTTTCCGAGCATTGAACCTACAAAATTAACCACAAACTAACCTAATAATAATATATATACAATGTTACAGAAATTTATAATCTCTTAAATGTAATCATATTTTGTAAATAGGCATCTATTTTTAATCTACTTAAGCAATATATCTCATCTTTTTCAAAGAGGTGTCAACACAACTGTCCTTGATCGATGCCCTGTTGAGCAACTTTGACAAAACAATACCACCGAGTCCAGACAAAAAGAATGAGAAAAAAGAGGAAGAAACACAGGATGCAATGCCAGACTCTACAACTAATACTGAAAAGAGTAATATAAATCCATTCCACTGTGGAGATGATGTGCTTGTCCCAAACAAGGATGGGAGATATTATTTAGGTATGACTTACTTAAATATGTTTTGCTATTGACATCGAAACATGTAAATAATACAGAAAATATTTTACTTGTACTAGTAGTAGATTATTATATAGTAGCATAGTAGAATTTGTATTGGAAAGTCTATTGCTATAAAAAAAACTATCATCTTGCTAAGAGAGATAATACATTGCTGGGGTAAATAATGTAGAATAGTCTGTTGTTGTCATCTTATTCTCTTAAAGCCATGTCTTCTTAAAGTTCTTGAAGCCATGTCATTTTAACCAACACCACACAGATAGTTTATAGGCATGTACTTTGAACCTGCCACTGTATATAAAATTATCAATAACATCTGCCTAGGAATTCACATACTTGAATAATTAAAAGATAATCTAATTAAAATAATAACTAAATCTGTTCTAATTGAAGTAAGAGTGGCTTAAAGGTGTGTGTGAGTTATGTTTCTGTGTAAACTATTACTAAAACAATCAATCAGGAAAAACCAACAATGAGTTAAGGAAGACTTAGAACAAGTGTCAATGATTGGATTTATATTTTATCTTGAAAATCTTAGTTTCTAAAAGAACTTTATCTATTCATTATTTTTAAGCTCTTTTTGCCTTACTCATTAATAGTTTAAAAACTATAGCCATTAGCCACGGATGATTAATTTTCGTACTGTTATGTAGATCAACCAATTTGTTCACAGGAACAATAGTAGAGTTGAGCACTAGTAATGACAATGATTCTTGTGAAGTGGGAACAGGGGTTGCTAGATGTCTGGTCAAATTTGGGGATGGGACTCATGCGTGGGCGCCGGTCGCCACACTTAAATTGCTTAGCGCCCCACCAGCTGACGATGGTAGGATTATGTGTGTCGTGTGCAAACGGAGAGAGGGCCTGGCCTCTAGTCCCGCAACGAATGCAATTATTGCCTGCGATATGTGTGGCAGGGGTTATCATGCTAAGTGCCACACGCCGCCTGTTGATGCTTGGATCAATGGTGAGTAAAATGTATACTTTTTGAGATAAATAAAAATAATTCAGTGAAGATGACATGCCAACAATCTCAGAAAGTTCATTCTATAGTTATGTATGGGAAAATCATTATTTCTTTGTTCCAAGGAATGTCATATTATGCATTATGTATATCAGTTACCTAAGACCATTGTTTTCCAACGTGGGGCCCACGCCCCTCAGGGGTGCAATTAATTATTATTAATGTGGGGCTATTCGAAAATTATTTGGAATTCAGTTTTTCATTTGTTTTTAAAATTTACTTATTGTCTTTGTTTAACATTTTCCTGATATATTCTGCGTAAATCTATAATTTAAGTTTTTATAAAAAATTGAATTTTAGAAAGGGTAAGGTGGGGCACAGCACAAAAAAGGTTCTGAAATACTGCCTCAGTGACATTAAAAACATTACTTCAGTAAAGTTTAAATACTAACAATTTGTTGAAAAAGGTTTCCTTCTTAATTTAGAATCTTTGAAAATGCATTGCTAGACTCGACGGTGATTTTTGGGATTCCTTATAATGTTAACATTCATTATAAGAGGAAGTATTAATGGTGCACAAGAAAATATGTTGGCGGACTGTTATTAAAAAGATATTTAAACTCACAACCTCATGGTTGAAAGTTCCTATCATTGCTTAAATCAAGCCAACTAATGTTCAGGTGCATCATGGCACTGCAAGCGCTGCGTAGACCAACGGTACCGCGTAGCTGCAGCCGAGAATCGCGCGAGCAAGCGAACTGACCTATTCCGGTTCAAGGGCGGGCAACAACGGCGGCAACAGCAGGAATTAACTCCACCTTGTGATGTAAGTAAACGATTTTAAAACAAATGGTGACTTTCACAAGTATTATACGCGAAATAGAACTAATTTGAGTGTACAACCAACCCGGCTCCAAAAGATAAACCACTCTTTATATGGAAATTGTAATCGTTTTAACAACAAACTCCCAAGCGAAATTAGAGAATTATCACTAAATAAATTCAAAGCCCTTAAACGAAAATTAATCAATAAAGCTTTTTATAAGTTTGAGGAATACTTAAATGATCCTAATCCTTGGGATTGATTTGCTCCAGTTCAAACAATTTGTATGACAATACTTGGCGATTAAAAAGAGTGGCGGAAAGTTTCTTGCCAGTTCTTCTTACCCGCTCTACGCCCTTGACTTGCGAACTGGTAGTAAATGTAAATTTACAATTAATTTAACTTCTTTCTGACAATTCATAAGTGTACTTGTTTACCTACACAAATAAAGATATTTTGAGTTTGAATAAACGAAACTGAACTGAAGTCGGACCTAGGTCATCGAACTTGTATATTAATTATTAATCTTTACATTAATTGGTTTACAAATTTGGTTGGTTAAAGAAAAACTTAATCTGTCATAGATGAATAGGCAATTGATTTGTTAAATTTAGAATCAAAATCATTTAATTGCGACCCTTGATTACAATTTTTTTACTTTTTATCTATTCTTTTTCTCTTGTAATATCAACCCATCCTCATGTATGCATACTTTTCTATTTTATGTGGGTAAATATTTATTTATGGAAAAGTTTAAGATGTTTTATAATGTTTGTAGTAAGTAAAAAATTGTGTGTACATTATTTGAATGTGAGCCATTTTATATTCTTACAGACCGCATCAACAACTTCGTCGGCTGCGTCAGACGCGGGTAAAGACCAAAGCGAGGGACACTGCTACTGTGTAGAAAAAAGTGATTGGTTAGCTCAGGCAAGTATTATTAATTAATGGCTGACCCGGCAAACGTTGTTTTGCCATGTATATTTCATAAAAAATTTTTAGTTCAATAAAAATCTACTACTAAGGGAGCGTTCAAGTATTACGTAACGCAATTTTTGGAGATTATTGACCCCCCCCCATGTAACTCGCCGTAACGTTTTTCAGTACCCTAGTACAGAACTGTACTCAAGTATAGTAAAACGTTTCGTGTGTGTGTGTCTTAGTTTTATTTACTTGTGTTTAGTTACTATTATGTGGTATAAGTCGAAAATAATATTAACAATAACGCGTAATTCAATCCCCGCCCCGCATCGTAACGTTTTACAAAAGGACCCCCTCTCCCAAAACTCGTTACGTAATACTTGAACGCTCCCTAATCTATCTACTATAATAAAAAAGTGGGGTGAAAATTAAAATTAAGGGTTGCTTGTATTTTTGTATGCTGTATCATAAAAAAATAAAAACAATTTTTATTGTCTACAAATAAAATGTTGGGGTGGACCACTCCTAACATTTAGGGGGATGAAAAATATATGTTGTCCGATTCGCAGACCTAACCGATATGCACACAAAATTTCACGAAAATCGGTCGAGCCATTTCGGAGGAGTTTAATTACAAACACGAGAATTTTATATATTTGATTGAAAATTCTATATTTTTAAATATAATTTTTAAAAAAATGTATACTTTTTTTAGATGTTATTATGCTGCCGATGCTCCCGTTGGTTTCACCAAAGATGCGTTTCAAGTTTACAGTATCCTTTATATGCAGGAGATAAGTAAGTTACAATTTTTTAATTATTAAAGATATGAAATATGATATGGAGGAGTGTTTTCTTAGTGGCTTCAGCGTGCCACTCTCATCCCTGAGGTCGTAGGTTCGATCTGCGGCCGTGCACCAATGGACTTTCTTTCTATGTGCGCATTTAACATCCGCTCGAACGGTGAAGGATAACATCTTGAGGAAACCAGCTTGCCTTTGACCCAAAAAGTCGACGGCGTGTGTCAGGCACTGGAGGCTGATCACTTACTTGCCTATTAGATTTAAAAATGATCATGAAACAGATTCATAAATCTGAGGACCTAAAGAGGTTGTAGCGCCACTGATTTATTTTTTATTTAAATTAAAGATATGAAATAATTATGATATTTATCCGTCATTATCGATAAATGTCAAAAATTGCATATCCTTTGGGGACAAATTTCTATATCAACACTGGTTTATCAGCAGTAAACGATTTAAATTCTACTGCTCATAGCAATTGCGATTACTATTGTAACTTATATAATACTTATTTTATATTACACAAGCCACAATAATATATGGACAAAGTGATACCTGTATCTTATATTCCATAATAAACATGTTTTATTTTTTTATAAAGACTAGACACACATCGACAATTATGTTTTTTAATGATTTGTTTAACAATCATTAAACATTCCAATCTAGCCAAATTAACTACTAAACTGTGTACTACTACAATAAACAAAGAAAATATTGAATACCTTTACCTTTATGAACACAAATATTTTGTATTTAAAAAGGCTGTATTTAGTCAGAGATTGTCATATGGAACATGGTGTAATGGTTGCAGCTCCTTACAAACGTGTAAAACAAAAAACTTGGCGATTAAAAAGAGTGGCGGAGAGTTTATTGCCAGTTCTTCTCTTCCGTTCTACGCCATTGATTTGAGAACTGGCAGTAAATGTGCAAAGAAGCATTTCACATATATATCTTTTTTGACGTTCATAAGTGTACATTGTGTTACCTATGTGTATAAATGATTTTGAATTTGAATTGATCAATAATAAAGCTGACTAATGGTAAAATAGTTGAAATCGGTCCAGTAGTTATTGATTTGTTACTAACATCAAAATATTCTCTTTATAATATAACACGGATAACACTGCTTACATTGCCAATGAAAGCGTAGACTGCTGTCTGATTTTTTTTTTAATTTCAGGCTGTACATATTCGCGTGTGCGAATTGCAATGGCGGCACTGAGTTTCTTCGTCGTTTGGAGCTATGCTGGTTAGACTTGGCGCATCTGGCCCTTTACAACCTCACCGCGTACAACGCGCCTAATTACTTCGACCTGGATACAGTCATCATGCCGTATATCATGGACAATTGGCATGCTTTGCAGCTTCCAGAGAAGGTAACTTTACGTAATTAATCTGTGGACTGTCTAATAAATATAGCAGTGTTGGCAAATCTCAATTTGAGGCCGTAGGTTCGAACCACAGCTGAGTAAACTTTTCTCTAGCTGATTTAACATTTGCTAGTATAGTGATGGAAATATAGCGTGGAAACCGGCATGTCTAAGACGGGTGTATGGCACATAAGGCTAATCCTCTATTTAAAAAAAAATATCAAGAAACAGAGACAGATATGAGGCCAAGAGCAAGGGTAGCATCATTTTTTTTTTCTAATCAAAATATCATTTTTAAAGTAATTTAAATAAATTAAACTATATTTAATTAATATTTATAAAGTAAAACTGGCAATAAACTCTTCGTCACTCTTTTCAATCAATAGTTAGTCATAGTTCTAGTATGTCAAGCTTGAGTTCAGTTTCGACGACATTTTTTTAATGAAATTTGAAATAGGTTAGCCACAATCTGGTCTAGCATTGTCAGCACTATAGAAAAATATAATATTCAATCTTTGAAACTAGATTTCATTTTGAATAGTATGGGTTTCTTTAATTACGACATTACATGATTTGGGACTTAGATTAGTAGAATTTGTAATTTTTATAAAACCATTATGAATGCGCAGTATGGGTTCTGTCCCACTCTAACGCGTATTTGCCGTCATCGTGTGATAGGTTTTTTTAATTACGGAATTTTTTGATTCGGTCTCCGCGCTCAAAGCCCGCGATAAAATCTATGCAATAGCTTAAAAAACATTGGTACGGTTCTGTCATGGACACGGCCGTGTGTTGTACATGAATACGTATATAATCGATAGATTTAATAACTAAAACGAACATCATAGCTTCTCCGAGTCAAAAGTTATACTAATTAAAAATTACGCAGTAAAGTTTTCGTCAATTTTACAAAAAAAAAAAAGAAGGAGGGGGGGGAGAGGGGAGGAGGGGGAAAAGGGAAAGAAGGAAAAGGAAAAAAAAAAAAAGGGGGGGGGGGGGGGGGGGGGGGGGGGGGGGGGGGGGGGGGGGGGGGGGGGGGGGGGGGGGGGGGGGGGGGGGGGGGGGGGGGGGCCGGGCCCCCCGGGCGGCGGGGGGAGGGGGGGAAAGAGAAAAAAAAAAAAAAAAAAAAAAAAAAAAAAAAAAAAAAAAAAAAAAAAAAAAAAAAAAAAAAAAAAAAAAAAAAAAAAAAAGGAAAAAAAAAAAAAAAAAAAAAAAAAAAAAAAAAAAAAGGGGGGGGGGAAAAAAAAAAAAAAAAAAAAAAAAAAAAAAAAAAAAAAAAAAAAAAAAAAAAAAAAAAAAAAAAAAAAAAAAAAAAAAAAAAAAAAAAAAAAAAAAAAAAAAGGGGGGGGGGGGGGGGGGGGGGGGGGGGGGGGGGGGGGGGGGAGCCCCCCCACAAAAAAAAAAAAAAAAAAAAAAAAAAAAAAAAAAAAAAAAAAAAAATTGGGAAAGGGAAAAAAAAAAAAAAAAAAAAAAAAAAAAAAAAAAAAAAAAAAAAAAAAAAAAAAAAGGACAAAAAAAAAAAAAAGGGGGGGGGGGGGGGGGGGAAAAAAAAAAAAAAGGGGGGGGGGGGCCCCCCAAAAAAAAGGGGGGGGGGGGGGAAACACCCCCCCCCCCCCCCAAAAGGGGGGGGGGGGGGGAGCCCCCCCCCAGTCCCAAAAAAAAAAAGGGGGCCCCCAAAAAACACAACCCCAAATGTAACTTTTCAATGGACTATTTGTATGTAGAGGAAAGATTCGAAACTACTACGTCAAACTGAATCCTACGATTTTGCTATCATTAGATTTGTTTGCATTGCCCCCGTGTAGCAGCAAATTTAAACGTCAAAATAATAACATTTTAATTGTATCTATTTTTGTATAATGTATAATTGTCATAAGTTTTCTTGACATTTATTTAAATATTTCGTTTCGGGTGTCATAAATGTCTATTTGGCATTCGCGACGTCTGCTATGTATTTGAACAAGATTAAAACACTGAATAGGTGATTTTTATTTTCTATTATATGGTTTGGTGCTATTTTAGCCACCCAAAATCTCTATATATATGGCTTGTCTAACTGGAATACAATTAATTAATTAATTTTCAAAGACGTAATTCTAGCATTTTACAATCATAACTTTATTATTTTTGTAGTGAATAATTAAATTTTGCAGATGTGGCGGACGCCAGTTAACGAGAGAAGGGAGCGTATTCTAACGGCCCTGACGTCCTCTCGTAAGCGTTTTAAGTGTGGTCGGGAGATGAAGAAGCGCGCTACGATTTGGGGCCTGAGATTGCGCAGACCGCCGCCGCCGCCGTTACAGCTTTCTGCGCTGGAACAGGTTTGTTCTTTATTTAAATATTAAAGGGTAGGTTCTTTTAGTAGGTTATATGTTCCACAATTTTCTTATTTGTGACAAATGATTGAAACAAACACATACGAAGAGGTACCATAGAGATATTTTTTTTGTGATAGTACTTTCACAAAAACGTATCTATTCAGATCTAACCGTTTTTTATATTATATAAATTAATCTGGCTACAAAAGTATATGTATTATGAAAACTGAGTCTTGTTACACTGATTTATCTTAAGAACTAATCTAATATCTTTTAATTACAGCAATTTCATAATTATTTTAATACTATTAATCATTGTATTTTTTTTTTCAAAATCGGTTACCATATTGGATGGTAAAAATCGAATTAATAAATACTAAATATTCAATAGGTTCAAAAAGGCGTTCCATTAACGGATGACATGGTCCGTGAATATGCTCCAAAGTTACGGTTTCTGCCTCGACCCCCATCACCTCAAACAGTCACATCTCTAGAAGATTGGTAAGACAATTAACATTTAACATATAATAAATATTGAACTACAAGAATCTGATGGTCTTTGACATAAGGAATTCCACATTTTAATAACAAATTTAAGAAATTGAAATCTATTGACTGCCCGCGTAACAGATAAATAGAGACCTTCCCTTTGTGCCTAAGTAATCATTTGTTTTATTAGTATGGTTAAACCAATCACAATATTTCTATATGTTTAGTTTTGTTGGCTGTTTAATATTATTATTAGTACTAATTTTTTTTTTGTTTTCAGTTCCCTACCCTCTAGTAGCAACAATGAAAAGAGTTCCTATAAAAATAACCAGCATAATATGATCGTACCTGTTGATGGTCATTGGCTAAATCTGATGATGGGAAAGCGGTTTCATGAAAATCTTAACTCCAATTCTGAAAACGACTCAACCAGTTCCTATGAATCAGCAAAGACATGTGAACGGGATGACCAGCCCTCGCCAATATGTACTTCTACGGAAACAAAATCCGACACCAAAGATCATTTAGAAAAACTGTCCGAAGTCTTATCAGAATCGAATGAAGCTAAGTCAACCTGTGAAACAGCTGATCGACTGCCTCAGCTAGACCAAATACCCAAAGATGAGCCCAATAAGGATTGTACGATCACTCACTCGGCCAAACTAGCTACGATGAACCTGGAAGTGTCAAAGTTATCCACAAAAAATATCATAGAACATTCCAAAATTATGTCCCTCCAACACATGGACCGTGTACCAATTAGTTTAATGCCAGAAGAGTCTTCTGGAGACGAGACCTCTAGTAGAGGAACGTTAGATGTAATAATACCACCCCTGAAGGACTTTCAAGGGAAGAACAACCCGTTTCTTATGAACTCTCACTCTAAGCCCTTCACGTCGAATATGAATGTGTATAGACAAAATGGAAGACTGAACTCACGCTTTTCACTGCCAAATCAGTTAAACCCGTTGTTTGGGCCTGTTGTTAGGCCTATGAAGAGAAAGCTTAGCGAAAAAGATATAGTAATAGGACCCAACGGAGAAGTCAAGAGAAGAAAGTATAGACGACCTAAGAAGCATTTACAGTTACAGGTAAGAAATATTGTAATTAATGTAGATGTCATTTAAAATATTTTATCGATTTTTATTACGGCCCTTTCAAGTATTACGTAAGCAGATTTACTGCATGTATTCCTAATGTCCCCCCCGTGTCAAGTAAGCAAAGCTCACAAAAATATTACAACGTAAAGGTATTAATTTTTTGTAGGAATCCTCGAAAATGGATTTCCTTCTCTAGCATAGACAATTTGTGGGTAATATGTGTACAAAAGTAAATAAACTGTTGACGTTGACCTCTATAGTGATTACGTAATACTTGTATAAAGAAATTTTAAACAGACGAAAATGTGTGTGTCAGTAAGGGAGCGTTCAAGTATTACGTAACGAATTTGTTCCTTTTGTACAACGTTACGATGCGGGGCGGAGATTGAATTAAGCCGATAGGGCTCATGCCCACGAGACGGTTTCAACACGGCACGGTTTTTGACTGGCGCCGGGTAGAAACCGTCCGAGCTTGCACACAAGACGGTTTGTACACGACCCGGTTTCATCGAGGTGCCGCCTTCATACGCTCTTTTCATTCAATGAATTGTGGACGTATAAAATGTTAAGTGTTAAAAAGAGGAAATGTATTACATATTATAAAAAGCTAGAAAAAAGACGACAAAAATACATAGACGACATTGGGTACCTCCCATGTTAACAGAAAGAGAAGATCATGGTGCATTTCATACGCTCATTCAGAAGCAACTATGACCAGAAATTTGAGAAGTACTTTCGAATGAAAAAAGAAACATTATAAAAATGTTACATATTTTGGAACCCAAACTTAAACATGAAGATACAAATATGCGCAGTAGTATATCTCCAATTAATAATTCCTGGTCGACTTCAATAATTATATAATATAATATTGCGTTGTGCGTACTGCGTAGGTAGTCGGCACGCGCCGGGTATAGGCCCGGTCTCGTGTACATGCGCTCATACACTGCCATACTCCACTGCGCACCGGGCGTAGACGCGGCGATCACCGTGCCCGGTTCATGTATGGCGTCATAGTGAACAGAAAAACGTTACGGCGCGTTAAATGGGGGGGGGTCAATAATCTCCAAAAATTGCGTGACGTAATACTTGAATGCTCCCTGATCTGTTTAACAATTGTTGGTATTTTTCTGTCAAATTAGAAAATAGTCAAATCGGTGATTTAATGTAGTAATAATTGAATACATTTAGTTTTTATGAATAGAAAGAGTTAAAATTACAATTATCTTTGGTTTTTTCAGTTGAATAAGTCATGTCCACTGCCAGACGACGTATCAAAAGTCGTCACCCCAACGGAGAGTGAAGTCCCACCGAGCGGAAACACAAACGCACACGGGCGAAGACTAAGACAGCGGCAGGAGAAAAATTACTACGAAAATTCACGACGAAACACAAATAATACTAGTATCAATAGTGTTAAAAGCCTCCAACTGAGCCCTCATAAGGTGGACAGCGGCGCCTGCGCACCCGACGCTTTATCCGCCCTAAAGTCAAGTGTCCAGTCGTATTTTCGCGCAGGGCAAACGTTTCGTGTATTAGCTCGCCGTAATTCTCCAGGTCTTCAGCCCGCATATCTTATCGAATGGGACTCCACCTCATAGAATATGAATTTATTTATACATATTAATAAGTGCTTGTCTACGTGTACAGTATCGAGGAATGTGATATAATTATATTATTCCAAGAGTATTTTTGGTTTTATTTGAAAATGGGAAGTCTGAAATGATGAGGAAGAAATACGAAGATATACTACGCCATTACGATAATGTAAACAAATTATGACTTTTATTCTACACTATTCATAAAAGTTGTATTAGGTTTGTTACTTTATTTGTTAACTCAACATTACTAAACTAACTAGTTTAAAAAAATCACCTGTAAGTGATAATCTCTGAGTACTATAGTTTTATTTTCCTTTCGTTTGCAAGCCTAATCTTTTACATTTGAGTGACGAATCGTCACAAAATCTGGCATCCGTATCATGTTATCACAATTTAACATAAATGTTTTTTGAAAACACTTTTTTACCGGATTTAAGTTATGTATTATTATAAATTTACAATTATTTTTCATAAATTTAACCGACGTTTCGCGTGCTTTACAGCGTCACGTGACTGAAGACAAAAGGTGTTGAATGTCAAAAAGTATCACAGCTGTAGAAAAAGTTGTATTATCTGTATATATAAGAACAGCTAGTTCCTAAAACACAAGATGTTCAATCACCTACCCGTGTCTGCTTTTTACACCACGTGAATAGATTCATCATCCAGTGGCGTTATAAAGATCTTACTATGAGAAAACTTTTTGTAGATACTAGGCCTTAAAAAAACTACCTACAAATATGATAAACTTGATTCCTGGTTCCACGATGTTTCAAAATTTAAGAATTTTAATTACACTAAAGTTATATACCCAAAATGTTATATGACGTACAGGACTCATAATTAGAGCAAGTCTCGACTAAATATTACTACTAATACAGAACTCTTCAGCATTTCTGAGTACCATCGATAAGCTCAAAAGAGTGAACATTTAACAATCTAGTATATGACCAGTTGTTAGTACGCGTTAATAGGCAAACTATCTCACATTTACACGCCACCAGAATGTTGCTGCAGTACTCGCCTAGCTTATTAAACAGCATACCTTTATTCGAAGCATCTCCGTAATCTACATGACTATGAAACATACAAGAACTTTGTCGCACGTCGCCGATTTCTTAAAATATAATATACTAAAAAGCGAATTACAGACCCAAGACCTTCGTACGGACTAAACGGGCCGTGGCCCATTTTTCACAGAAAATTATGCACCTTCGTACATAAAAAAAGGGTGCGTGTACTTCTGTACGCGCGTAAGAAGTTATACTGCTTTGGCTTTCTTTATTTTTTAAAAATAATTAATAATAAATATTTAACGTTAATAATTTAATAATATTTAGTATATTCAATTATTATTATATATAATAATAATTGAATATATTTCATTATATTATTCATTTAATTTAATAACTAGGTATGTTTCATAACCTTTTAACTAAGTAACAATAGGTCTTTGTAAAAAAGCATTGCTAAATTTCTTTGAAAAAATAATTAAAACTCCTTTATTTCTTTAAAAGATACATACTACAAAGGTCATTATGGTCATTCCATATTATTGGCATATCTGCTAACTTCACGCATATTTTATTTCTTTTTACTTGTAGATTGTCTTATTCCCATCTCGCTCGCGCATGCTCGGCGCCCGGCTGGTTTAAAAATAATTCGTTAGTAGGATACTTCATTCTGTTAATTTTGTGTCACGGTGCGCGCGCATCGTAACATTTCTTCTTATCAATTTTTCAAATCAATCAAATAGCAAATCATAAAGATATTTTTCTCACCAGCTCCCTAGCTGGAAAGTCTCTATTTATTTTAAGAAATCAGTAAGATACAGTAAAGGCCCTGGAGCAAGTTTCACAGAAATAAAATATTGTTGGAGATTTACGAAAGTTTGCAAAGTATTACTTGCGCTTTTATAATAAAAAAATCATCAGAAAAATGACATGTAAACGATGAGGATGAGTTGGTATCTGAGCATAATCACAGATGGCAAAGACATGACCCAAGAGAAACGTGTAGGGACTATCCCTAGAATAAAAATATTTCTAAATATCACCACGGATAATAATATAAAAGATAATGATGATGGTAAAAAAATAATGGTCGAGATAAATTAGTGTTGTGATATTTTTAAGTTATTTAACTCAATAACTGTGTTTCCTTGAATTTATATATAAAAATAATCGAGTTTTAAATATATTAATCTCAGTATTGTTAACTGCAGTTAATTGAGAGTGAAATCATTGTTTTAAACGAATGAGTATGATAATAAATATTAGAGCATTTTCTTTACGAAACTGTAAGGACTTTGGCGTTGTTGCCATGTTATCATTGTTTGAACTTTAGATTGGATCATGTCTATCCAGATTTTGGTTTATGTCTCAATAATAAAAAAGGCGGTATCGTACGTTGAATATCAATTTAAACAACAGATTACATTATGGAATGTCATTATATTTTAACGTTATTATCTACAATTTGTTTCGAGGTTCAATTGATGACTTGAAATAAAATTTGCTTAATTATATACAATATTTTGAGTTTGTATATTGTTGTTTTCACGCCATACACTTTCGAAACATAATACTTCGCTACATTTCCACTGGAGTTAACTAACTACAAAAACAGAAAAGACATTTTCCAATGTAAAATAAATATATTTCAAATCAAATGTATGACATTTGATCTGTCGACAGGCTGATAAAAAATCTACTAACATTAAGAAAATTTATCAAAAATCGAACACATAACAGAATTTTCATTTACTATTTAAAACACAACGTCATTTTCACATTGCAGATTTAATTGTATTATTATTATTCATTAAGGATAAGTTATTTTACTAGATTACATGATAATAATTTATATTCTTTATAAGAAAGTCAGCAAGAAACCTCATGCAATGGGAAAATGCACGAAAATTAACAGAGTTCATTGTTTCATAATAAGCTGATTGCCTATTTACGAATTATTATATAAAATAATTTTTTTGATTTTTTTAAATATTTCAAATTACTACTTTTAATTAGTACATACTATAAAACAAGTTGGAAGGTAGAAGACGCTTCTAGAACAAAATATAAATATAGGCTTACGAATGTAAGAGTTTACACCGAACTTATATAATACACATCGAAACGTAAGGTCCATAGCGCAGGCGCCCGTACAACAGTTTAACTTTAGTAAATATATCTATTCACAGCACTTAACCACATGTTAGTAACGATTTCACACAAAACAAGTCACAAATACACTCTGGTGTCGCCCCACCATTAAGTATAAATTGCATTGATATCAATAATTAGTATATTTACAACAAAATGTAGTCTATCATTAATTACAAGGACTCTTCGAAAGCAGCCATCAAGTCACTCTGCATGTTCATGTCTATTTGACCGGCCATCTGAAAAGACGTTGCTTTTATTATTGTTATTTTATAATTGTCTATTGAAAGGTTTATCATAGTATTCCAACGAGCCAGGAAGTTATGTAGACTAGTTACATGTTAAAGTTATTCAAAATGGTCAAAATAGTTTCTATTCTCCTATCTTACAAAGTTCTTCTGTACAACCAAGGAAAGAACAGAAGACTGTTATTCCAATAGCTCACTCAATGACACAATATCCGCTTGAGCACTGTAAAATATAAATAATGGTTTGACAGCTATTGATGTTCAATTTAATGATGACCTTAGGTGTGTTAGTGCTCATAATTTATACTCACAGCTTCCCGCCTCCGTCTCTCCTGTTCCCTCTGGCGCAGGCGGTCTCGCTCGGAAGCAGGTGGCTTGTCCGGCGCCGCACTAGCGACGGCCGCGGCTGCGGCTGGAGGTGAACCACGCGCTACGGGAGACACGCTGGGCGACGAAACCTCGCTACCTTCGGGCTTTCGACCGGCTTGTATTCCCCTGTAATTACGTCACCATATGAGCATAATGCTGACAGCGTGGCTTAGCGGTTAACGCACATGGCGTATAACCATGCAGCAGTCCAGAGTTCGATCCCGGGCAAGTAATTGTTTCGTTGTTAGACATAGAAGGCTATTAGACCTGTGAAATTTATAAAAACGCAGAAATTTATCTGCCCCATGCCATGCTCCAATAAACTTCAAACATGTGTGCCACAATTGCTTCTGTCAGAATTTTTATTACTGTATGTGAAAGCCCATAACCCCCATTTTCATATCAAAGCATATACATAGCCCGAAGCCCCTAACCCCATTAGGGGCTTTGGGCTATGTATGCATGAGATGACACATTTCTGCGTCTCATTGAGCAATTTTACTATAGGTGAACAGGGAAATTTTATACTGCCGTTAGGTTATCAGGGTTATACGTCATGCTCATTACCAATTAAGCCACGGAGGCGATAAAATTACCTTGTGAAGGCTCCATTAATTGTCTTCGGTTGAAATCTGATAAAAGATAATTTGTTTCTATTAAAAATAAATAATACCACCCACGAAGACGTTATTTTTGTTCTAATATTGCTACGTCTGAGAGCTTATTTTCTTAAAGGTCATAGAGCAGACGATTGAATCATAGAACTACCTTCTATGAGTGTTGAAACTATTAATCGGGTCAATCTCTAGTTCAATCACAATAAAAAAAAACGCGCCATTTCATATTTCGTTTTATATGCTTAGACTAATTTTAGTTTCATATTAATTTACCTCGTTTTATCATCCTCTGGATGTCGTCTTTCTGTTTCTTGCCTTTGCCTTTCTCGTTCCGCCTGTTCTTTCTTTCTTAACTCCTGTTGTTCTATAAGTGCTCTTTGTCGATCAATCTTTTCACGAGCTTGTTTCTTGAAAGCCTATAATAAAAATACAATTATAAAAGTATATAAGTATTTTATACTTCCCTGAAGTTTTTCTTGTAGAGCAACTGCCTTGACAAATATTTTTTAGTCACTTACGGTATGTATCAGACATATATAATATGTATGTAGTAATGATATTGAACGTAAATCGTAATGGATAGTGAATTTTAACACTTATTATATATATTATATTCCCGGATTTTTATACTAAAAACAAGTCGTTATTGCTACGAGTCATATGATTTTTCTATAAAACCAAGGAATTTGAAATTCACTATCAATGCATTATAGTCAAAATTTTGTGACAGAGGATTTTGGAAATTCAAAGTTAATATTATAATACTAAAATGTCACACTTACTTGAAAACTGTCCATAACAGGTTTAGGTTTTACTTGATTATTTGTTCCAATTGTTGTAGGAACACTCTGAGGGCTTCCCGCTTGCGCTAAGGACGACCACGACGAGGCATTTCTCAAATTCTGCTCTTGTTTCGTCTTAAACATTTGCGCGAGCGCTGCCCCTCTTTCCGTCATATTGTTTGTAACTACGCTGGGTACCCTCATGAGATCCTCAATGGGCTTGGGAGTGAGCAAGGGTTTTACGTCTTCTTTCTTAATAACCGGTGGGACCATGTTATTAGGCGCGCTAGGCATAACATTCATTTGGGCTTGAGCCGTAACCGGATGGCTGTGTGGAGCCGAATAAATTGGATCGAAAATTGACGAGACATTCGGCGCCGTCGTGATTCCGGCCAAGGTGGCGTTTACATCGGGCCTCGGCATCTCTCTTTCGTGCATATTCTTATCTACATATCCGTTGTGCGGTGGAGGAAGATGCATTTCATTTTTCATAGGCTCCGAAACGTGAGTCATATCTGTCAGTCCGCCAAGTTGAGCCATTAAGTTGTGATGCGACGTGTCAGACATCATGGAAGGTTTGTTGTTCATAAAGTCATCCAGACGCATGGACGACTCCGAGGCGCTAACGCTATCGTCCAAGGGAACCTCTGCTTGCAGGCTTCTTTCGAGACTTGCCAAGGACCGTTCTATTGGATCGATATAGTGTGACGTGTCAACTTTATCGAGGCCGTTGCGAGGTTCCATTTTCAGGGGTTTAATATCGGGTTCGCGAACGATAGGGACGTTACAAGAGTCGGGTAAATTACTAATGGGAGGGTTAATTATTGGTTGGACAGGGGTAGTGAGGGGTGCAGAAGCTACGGGAGGGTTAATTTCAGGTGCTGGGGTAGGGGCCTGTTCCTCTTTCACTGGGGCGGGTGGCGCGGACGGCTGTTCTGTGGCAACCGGTGGAGCTGATACCACAGGTGCTATGACGGGCGCGATTATCGGTTTCTGAAAATTAAAAAAAAATAAGCATCTCGCCAGTCCTGTGTGTCTTATAACATAAATATGAAGAGATATTTACAGGTTGTGATGATGGCAGCGGGTGTGGTTGCTTTTTTACTTTCTTCTTTGCCTGTTTTCCAATATTTGCACCTGTAAAGCAGTATCAGTAAATACATATTTGTATGTATTGATGTTTATATATTTTTTAATTCACGTATGTACTTACAGTTTTCATTGAAATATTTAGGATATCTTAATCATTTATCCTAACTCTCAAGCTTTGATGTTCTGACACTGGTGCTTCGCGCGGAAAGGAAATCAAAAACAAATCTAATCTATGTCAACTATCGATATCGTTTTAATCTATGGAAACTTCGTGTTACGGGGTTTTAAGAAAAACAATTTAAATTAATTGAAGTATTTACTTTAAGTTTTATTATATTAAGTTATATTATATACAAAGTTTTATTTCTATTAAAACTAAAAATTACAAGTCATGATAATCGATTGGATAAAACTTAATATAAAATCAGAAAACATTGTGTATTTTTACATTCACTTTTAAAAACCTATATCAATACAAACAATTGTACCAAATATATTTTTACTTTATTCTTGTGTCATTTATCTTCAAATTCGTATATGCAATAGTTCTATACTAATTGAAGCTAATAAAAAATTAAAACGAGAATAAAATATAAATAGGCAGAGGTGATTTTTTAGGTATATACTATATCTATATATACTCCTTACGGTAAACCTACGGCAAATATACGAGTATATTTTGAAACTAACTACAAGTTGTCATCTCTGCCTTTTCATAATTTCCACTATTGCTAACTTATAAAAAAACCTCGACACTGAATAATTGTACTTCGATAAAATTTAAGTGCGCTAAAATTGATTTAACTCCTAATCATTATTGGGAATGTACAATCTTGAATATATGCATTATAAAATAATACTGTAAAACCAATTTTAAAACATTATCTTGAGTTACCTTTATCTATACAATATATATACGCTCTTATGTATACTATATGATGACAGCTGCAATTTACAATTTAATGAACATAAACACAATTTTAAATAACCTAAAATATATCCTATTCTAAAGACACTTATGTGTAAGTTGGTTCTAACACTGAGTAGTGACGAAGTAAAAGTAAAAAAATATGTATAAAACAGAAAATCGTTACTACATTTATATGATCATTATATAAACTCTTTAAATTATTAGCCGCTAAATAAATAAAATTATCAATGTATCGTTAACAATAGCAAATTTATAAACATCTATGGGTCGTAGAGGCCCGTGTTACTGTCTACATCTTGTAGTATCGATCCTAACACATTAGAATTCTCTTGTGACAAAACGTAATTTGACAGTAAAATATAGAATTTATATTATAAGGTGTTTCAACGTACAGGTTTTATAGAAACCCAACAATTATAAGAATAAAATTATGCAACTTATTGCACCAATCCTATCCTCCCTCCTTCAAAGAAAATCATTTTCACATAAATCTAAAAAACAGTAACCCAGCTGTGCAGTTGTTCCGTCCGCATTGACATAATAAATTGTTATTAACATTAAATGCATTAACTTATTGTATAATGTTTGCAAACAATTGGTGGAAGGAAGGAGGCCAGCTTTAAGTTCTCACAGTTGAATGTTCGACACGTAATTCGAGAGCAAGCATACAAAGTATTAAGCGTCACCAATAAACGATACCTTTTCATGGGCAAATTTTTAACTACAACATGTCACTCGTGAAATCCTCGTGGCAGAGGGCTAGTTGCTTGCCAGCTCCGTCCGTCCTTACACAATTGTTTGCATTACGTGTTGAGGCGCTCCTTGGGTCCGCTCTACTTCGTACTACGTCCCACACTACGCCGCTATACACTTCACGGCGTAACACACACTAACAAGCTATTAGTAACCGTAACGGAAGTTTCCAATAGATAGTAAAGATATCGAAAGTTTAAGATGCAAATGAAATAACACCGGACTTAAGGACATGATATAGTTAAAAATATTAATGTGAAAAGGTATTTCCTATTGGTTTATTGAAGCGAAACCAAATAAACAATATTCCTTACCGGCACCAGTTACGAGTGTCAGCGAACACCAAAGCTGGCTTCTCCTCCTTACTAACTAACTACCTCAGTATGCCTAACAACCTTGTCTTTTGTTCGATTATTTCAAAGCGGATCGATCCCATAAACGTTACCCTTTTCTATCACAGTAAAACATCGTTTCAATTGATATAAAATAAACATAACATCATCATCCACTTACTTTGTAAAAAAATGAAAAAATTATAAAGTAATTTTAAAACATATAAAGTCATCTAAAATACTTTTCAAATGCAATATAAGAACAATGCTACCGACGTAGGCCATGCAAATTGGTGTTAACCAAAAGACTTGTGGCAATGGTGGGTCTAATAAAAAATAAATATTAAAAAAGATCTTAACGTGGTCTACTACGCTACCCTATCATCAGTCCTATGGAACTACAACCAGAATCTGAGTGTGAGATGATATGAAATAATATTAACCCATTCTTAACATTCATACTGTCTCTTGATATTTAGGGACTAGAATAAAATATTGATAAAAAAGGACAATCTAACAACGATATCCATTCACATTCAGTCAATTTTTTAAAATACTGTGAGTCGATAGATCACACGTTTAAAGTAAACTGCCAATAACCTAAACCTATATTCGCTATCAGCGTCGCAGGTTACGACGCGACGCTTTTTAAATGCAAACAAGAGCCATTACAGCCACAGGACTATGGTTTAAGAGGAACTCATCTATACAATATGCTGAAAAAGTTATTCATTGAACGTATACAATATTTTTTGTACGTTCAAAAAATAAAACTATGAAGATCAATGGCAATACTACAAGTTAATTTCCGTAAATGAAAAAAAAACTTCCTGTAGATTTCGAACGGACATAGTATTTAATTCAAATGGACGAAATTAATAGTAACCTGAAAAACCCTATTTCAATAAATGAAAGTTTAAATTCAAGTAATTTTTTAAGAGTTAAACCAAAGTCCGTGTGGCTCTATATTGTACTGATTGTACTGTGGTTGTCGACGTCTAACCTGCTTCGCTGTCGCTGCTGTCCGAGGATGAAGTGTCGGTGCTGGACGAAGAATTGGAGGAGTCTGATGAACTTGATGAAGAGGAGATGCCTCCACCCAGGCCCTCCTTGCCATCTGAAATATATACACATTTTATAGTTTTGTTTTTTTTCTGGTCGTATATTGCTCAGACATGGGGCTGACATCATTATTTGCAGAATAGAAATGAACACTTCAATGTATTTTCAGACATATTTGACAAGCAAAAACTTAATGAATCTTCTGTAAATATTTCTTGTCTAATCACGCGGAGGACCCCAAAATTCAATGTTGATATATCAGAAGTTTCTTAATATGTTTAATAAAGCACACTACAGCACGTATAATACAATGTAATGTTCTAAAATATATGACAATTATAATGGACTTCGAGTGTCAGGGAATTTGGAAGTTTCTATTGATTTTGAGCCTTGGAAATGAATAAGGGACTATTTCTTAATTAATAGTAAATATAATTCGAACCTAACTTAAGACACCTTGATGTCTATTGCGCACAGTAGTAATTTTTAGACTAAACGATAGAATTTTTTCATAGAAATTATGTTTTTGTGAAATAAGTAATCAATGCTAAAAGTCAACTTGACAGTCGTGCTGTTTCACAATAAAACTTACCTTTTTTAGGTTGTTGTTTCTTATGTGATCCTAATTGCCCAGTGACGTCATGCAGTCTCTTCTCCAATTCCTGTTTCTTCTCAGCTATTTGTTCATCTTTAGATTTACCGGAAACCTTTCGATCTGGCAACAAATAAAACATACATTGCATTGTTTGAACTTATCAGGTGATTGTCTTAAAAAAATTGTTTTAATACCAAATAAACAAAGTTTAAAATTATAAATAACAGTAAACAGTACTCCTAACCAGATTAGGATAATTATAATAATTATTTTATTGATTAATAAAAGTGCAAAAGTTAAAGTTTATTTGTAGTATAAGTTGTGTTGCGAGCTAATGAATAGTATTCTTACGTGTTTTTTTCCGAAGACACGAAGCGACATAGCTCTCGAGTTCCCTGAGTGTGGACGGTTTGAGAGTCTCGAAGTCTATTTCTATCTCGTCAGGATTCGAATCCCGCAACGAAGGCTCTCGACTTTGTATTATATGTACCACTTTACCCAGTTTGTCACCTGAAAGAGAATACAATTAATGTGTGCCAAAAAACATGTGTGCTATTCACACGTGGTAGAACTTTTAAGTTGAATTTAAATTTTATACACAGTATAATATCTCATTTTCTATCACCTTAAATCTTATGAATTTATGTGTCTGTCTCTCTTCACTGTCGCTTATTCGTTTCATCGACTTTCAAATCATCATCGGCGTAGTAACACATACTCGGAGATTTTTTATGATTTTATTCAAATCAACAATTATAGTATTTTAGGTAAGGAGCGCATAATACGGGCACATGCTCTCTAATATATTACGATAACTAGTAGTATAAGTTTCATCAGTGGTATAATCCACCCAAATCCTTATATAGCCAAAAATATACAAGGGCTTTCTCTTACTAATGTCACTAAACATAATGACAATGATATGTAATAAACTTTATTGAATATATATATATATATATATTATTAATTGTTTCTTACCCGGGAGCTTGTTAATATCGAGCGAGAGCTGCCTCTTCTCGTCGTAGGACATGGGCTTAGCGAGATCCTCGTCGTCGGAGTCGGGCGGCGGGACGTGCGGCGCCGCGGTGGGCGTGGAGCTCTTCTTCTTGGCGGGTGGCGCGCCCCGCGAGCTGCCCTTGCCGGCGCCGCCGCCCCGCTTGCTGCCCGTCTTGCCGCGCACGGCCGACGCTGCAACATTCACTATACAACACTCACTCTCACAGCTTCATAGAAGGACGGTTCATTTACGAGTACGGTTAAATAAAACTGTAGAACATTAGATACTTCAAAGTATTTTTACTATAAGTAAGTTTTATACATATTTAATATAAGTAAAACTGAGAATCGCTTTTAAAATGTCCCTTGTTTACATGATGGAATCTGGATTTAAATTTAGTTTTTATTGAAAATATTGAATTGTATCAAGACCTCATTGTATCCAGTTATGAAAAGAGAGAAATCGTGTCCCCTTATTAAAGGAGAAAATAAAACTGCTTCTCGTGTTAGCAAGCCTAAAAATAACACTCAAATTTCAAACAACTTATTATACAGACAAATAAGAACACTTACCCAAATTTTCTGCTATATTATTAACTTTAGTATAGGCGGGTACGGGGGTGGGCTTCGGCACGACACTATTGGTTATTGGCTTCTTCGGTTTGTCTTTTACTTTCTTTTTCGCCTTTTTCTTAGTGTTTGATTCTTCGACGAGTTTCTTCATCTTCTCTTGGAGAGCGAGTAATTCCTTCTCCAATACTTTGACTTTATTATTTCTTTCTTCTTCTGAATCATCAGATTCAGAATCAGATTCGGAACCGGACTCCGAACTGGAGCCCGAACTTCCTTTGTCTATGTGAGGTACTCCCGCATGAATCGGCTCATCTGGTATTTTCGCGTATCTGCAATAAAATTACATCAATTATTATAGATTCAATCGTCAAATCGCAAATAAATAAGTTTTTATTTTCTACCAATTCTGCTGACACCATAATTATACTTATACAAAAAAATATTATGGCTAGTTCTTAACAAGTTAACTCATTGCTCTAAAAACTGAAATTACCTCATTTCAAAAACATCCTGCAGTTTTCGCGCCATAGCGACCACGTCGTGATCGGGTGGGTTATATTTGTAACAGTTGGTAAATATTAAACGGACGTCCGTCGCGAATTCCGCTGCCGTTTTGTACGCTCTGTTGTCCATTTTCTGTTTCACCGTTCCAAGGTCCATAGGCTTCTTGATTATGTCAAAGTAGTCGTGTAGACCAAGTAGAACGGCATCCACAGGTTTATAGAACGGCCAGGCATAGCCCTAAAGTCAAATACGTACAAATAAATCATATTGTCTTTTGATTCGCGTAACGAATATCAGTTTGTAAGACTCGTGTTGATCCGGGGATCACTTATTGCCACAGTTGCCACGGCCACAGTGATTTTTGATCAATTAAGGTATATAACTTTAAGTCACTTCCTACTGGCATTTTTACACATTGATAATAATAAATAATAAATGGAATCCTTTCGATAATTGCATTGTTTAGCCTTTGAATGTATTTATTTGATCTAGATGAGCGAATTGTCGGCGACATGAAATGTACTTACTGAGTGTTTCTTAGAGAATAATTCTTTTAGTATTTCATTGCAGCTCTTGAGCGCGTCGGATAGTTTCTCCTTGTTCTTGGCAAGTTGCGGCGTCCCGGCGTGATGAGACGCGCCGGCGCCGCCAACTCCCGGCGACACTCCGCCCATTTTGAACCCGTCATCGGCGACTCTACCAGCCTATAGATACGACCATACTTTATACGACTTTCATTACTAAGTTATCACTTGACTGGCAAGCACGACCCGCACAGGTGCCATGCAGATTCTAAGATGGTGTTATTGTTAACGAAAAGAAATTGGCCCTACAATCTCTAAGAGGCGTACGCTCAAGTCACTAGTGACTAGGCTAACACTATTGATTTGGTATCATTGACAATATTTTGTTTAGACTATGCTATAGGTTATCTTTAAAAGTAAGCAGCTGCTTTTTATTGAGGTATAACAAACATGTTTTTTTAGAGGTTACTTTTGAACTGCATAGCACTTTTAAACAATTAAGATGTATATAGTCAGACTGCAGACATGATAAATGTGGTGGTTCCTTATATGATTATTAACAACATGTATCCGTTTTGAAGTAATCACATGATTTTAGCTGAAATAAATGTATTAAAATTTATTTAATTTTATTACAGTTTTAGACCCATACCTTTTTCTGTCTCCCACTTTCCCTTCTTGTGGAGATTTTGGCTGGCTTAGGTCCACCTTGTTGGTCGATAGTGGGCGTTGTGTAACCACCTTCAAAGGAACTTCCCATGGGCGTTGTTGTATCCGCTTTTCTCTTAACACCCTTTTTGACCTATGTACAATATATATACAAATTATTTGGACAAATTGCTGTGTTGGACTCCAGTTTTATAATCAAATTTATAGTTGACTTCATAATATAGTTTATAATTTTTACAAGGCACTTCGGTTATTGCTACCAAAGCATTCTTATTTTACATTATTTGCTGCCTGGATTTCATACCATCTTAAGTGTTCAAGAACTTACTCCAAAAAAGGCATATAATAGAAAATAATACCTTTGCTGGTTGCGTCTGCGACAAGGTGACCGCAGGCATGGTTTGGACAGGTGGGGCGGCCGCTTGGCTCACGTGAAAGTTAGAGGGTTGCGTCGCCATCTATGGAGGTCACACATTTTAGGCATGGGCACTATGTAATATTCTATTATAAGCTTTTATTTATTTTAATAAGTGTAATTGAAATAATGTAATAATATAACACAAAACTTAAAAAATATTAAAAATTTATCAAAAGTTTTCGCCAAGTTATTCATATTATGTTTAGCGATATATCAAAAACCCCGTCATACACAAGGTTTTGAGTAGAGGCAATATAAAGTAACCTGTTGCGGCAATCCAGCGTGCGTAGCGGGCGGCGTAGGGGGTGCGGCTAGTGTAGGTGTGGTGGTGGTGTTGGTTGAACCCACGAAGGCCGGAAGAGGCGTCGACGGCACTGCCTTGACCGGCGTGGAACGCGCGCCTGGGACAATCGGCGCCACACTCGAGCTGGAACGCTTCTTCACGCTCTTTGCGCTGTTCGATGGCACTTCAATCTCTTTCTCCTCCTTGTCCATTTGTGCTATCTGCATACAATTATTGAGTCATTTTAACAACCAGTTATTTAGCAGTAACCAGTTTATACCTATTGCACATCAATAAATCTGATGATAATAGAAAATCACATAACATATTATTAGTTATAAGATTTAGGTATATAAATATATATTTTTTTTTAATGTTTTTTATCTAGGTTAATTGGTGTGGGTGTAAATATTGTGTCGTTCTATCGAATTAGTAATTACTGTAAAGATAGAATAAGGATTTATTCCATATAAATAAATAAACATTTTAAAATAAATATTTTTTTAAATAGTACTTTGTGATCAATATAATATATATTCTGTATGTTATTTAAGACTTACCCGATTAAGGAACAATTTTTCTAACGTTTGCGCCATAACAACCACATCCTCCCCAGGTTTGTTGTAGATATAGCAATTTGTGAACATAGTATTGAAATCTTGAATACATTCTTGAGCCGAGTAGTAATAATTTGATTCCAATCTCTTTTTAACAGTTCCCAAATCCATAGGCTTCTTAATAATCTTATGGTAGTCCTAAAAAATTAAATTGTTTTAGTATGCTATTGTTATACACTTATATTTAAAATTTAATTAAATTTGCACTCAGCATTTTACATTTTTAACTCCAAAAAACGACATACATGATAAGTATAAGATGCAAATGAGTAAAGCACCTGAGTTAGAAAAACTTACTGGGAGGTTCAATTTCTTAGCATCTACAGGTTGATGGAAAGGCCATGCGAATTTATGTTTCCACACGGCCTTAATGACATTTTTCTGAAGGAACTGAAGTTGATTAGTAACTCGTCCCTGGCGACGCGGAGACTCTTCCGATGGCGCTCCATTTACGGGCTCCACCGCTGGCTAAAATATAATATTTTTTTATTTTATTATATAATCGCTCTATTATAAATCGCTTTGAATTAGCTCTTTACTTACAGTACTTGTAGTGGCGAGTGGATCAACTGCCTGCTGCATTGTGCTGGAATCAGCAATCTACCTGCCAAAATTATGCATGAACTATAGAGTCCGTCTACAAAATAATGTTCCTATGAAAAACAAATCACACTCACCTCAATTGTAACAAGCGGCTCATCCAATTTCTGGCTAAGAGGCATCAGCTATATCCTCTTATTACATTAAACCTTTCTATCATAATAATTTTTGGTGCGCTTGCACCTAATTGTGTCTTACTCTATGCATTAATAAATACTTCACCTAAAATCGTAAACAATTTGTTAACATTTTTAAAATGGACAAAGATAAATATTAAAATTTTATTAAATTTACCATTTAATCAGCTGATGTTCTGAACCTTCCGTCTGGATCTCAATAGTGATTAAAGACACCCAGAATCTGTTAAGATAGGTAAAATTGTCTTATAAAATATATAAACAAAAAGAGTTATAAAAACATGGATATATATAGGCTCCTTAGAATAATTTTTAAGAAATATTTTCAAATATCTGTTACAAGCTAGAGATATCAATCAATCCTAAAAATACAGTACAAATTGTAAATTTTTATTTAAGGAATGGTCTGATTATTTTTCTAGTGTTGTAAAATATGCCTATATTAAGTTCTAAATTGAGTTTTTTATTACAAAAATCGTATACACTTTTAATTACTTTATTTGTAGCTCCTGTGCACTTATGAAATGAACGTATAATTAATAAAATGAAATATAAAGAACATGGAACTACAATAGGATTTTCTATACATTAAGACTTTATTCCATAGAAACATTTCATTTTGAGGTAATTGACAATATTAAAAGAATTGTTTATATCATGTATCTGGTATGTAATATAATGCTCGGAAAGGGTGCTCCCCAAACTTTGAAAGCAGGGGTTTTGGTCATAAGACAATGACAAAAAATGAAAGCATTATCAAGATTGTCACTGAGAAACCTGCCTTGAACAGAAAATGTCTGTTACTAGAGCAACAACAAAGATATGGAATCAAAAAAATTCCAATAGGCCGATATTCTGGGCACAAATTTAAGTTACGCATGAAAAATAAGTACATAATCAAATTTAAAATTAATTAATTAAATTTCATTGTGGCAATTACACAATACTTATTTAGTAATATATTTATTGTATATATTTAATAATAATAATTAATAATATATATTTAATATATGTATGTATAGCAAAGTATAGGAATAATAGAGAGAAAAAAAGGAATGTAACACAAAGATACATTAGTAAGATGAAAAAAGGTTAAAGAGGAAACAAGATTTTAGGAAATTAAGAAACTGCCTACTTACATATTTATTTTAAGGATCTTTAAAAGTGGATAAGTTGTATCTTTGGTTTTTAATCACCACAAGCAATTTATTGTATTCTTTTTAACCACACATGTAGCTATTACTATCTTCTTAAATGGTTTGTGACTGTTGCATACTATACATTTTTTAAATTATATTTAGTCTTAACTACTTAGAGTTAACAAAATATATATTAATTTTGAAATGCTAAGAGAATTTTATCAGTAGCTGATGAATGTTTAAGTTATGAACCCGAAGATATTCCCATATAAAGTTCTGTGGAGAGTACTCACCACGGCTCAGTAAAATTAAGCATTGCTGATGACAGTGATTAAAAAGGATGAAAAGAGTTGAAGTTGTTTTTGGTTATAGAAACATTTTGATTGCATAGTTTAATTTTTTACTGTAATTAACTCAATTAGTATAATTTGTTTTTCAATAAATGTTTTAATGCTGGACGGGATGGTTTTCTGCAATGTTGAAAGACTACTAGATTGCCACTGCAGCATGCTGCTGTTTTATCATTATGTACATAAATTAATAAGCTAGTTGTTTTTTGTATGGTAATTTGATGTGTCACCCTAATAGAAATTGTAATATTTGTCTGCTGCATATATTGAGGTAAAGTAATATAAAGAACAATCTTATATTAATTGTATCCCCTTAATATTTTTAAGGAAACTAGGTTTCTATGCAACACTTTGCACCATAAAATCAATCTCATACAATTTATACTTTTAAATATCCATTCTTAACCTTCTTAAGTCCAGACATATTTTGGCTATTAAGTATGTATTACAGGATTGTACTAAACTCTTAAATTTAACAATAACTGAGGTTTAATATAACAGAGGATAATTTTAGGACCAACATAACCTTAATTGTTTAAGTATATTTTTAAAAAAGACAATGTTCTATACAGGTTCCCAGAACTCTTGCTTCTTGGCGCCCTAACAGTAAAGGTAAGCACCATGCATTCCAAGCATCTAGAAACTTCTTTGATTCTACTGACTCTACTAAGTAAAGCTTTTAAGGAAATAAGGGTCTATGTAGTAATAAAAGTTAATTTTAGTGTTTAAATATAATTGTATTTCGACATAAATGAATGCAACAATATTAAAACGAAATTTTTGAAAATTATAGTCGCTAGTTACGCTAGGTACTTACTCAAATTTCTGATACTCGCTAATATAAACAAATAACTGAAGCAAACAAAATTCAACAGGAATATGATAAATAAAAATATTTTAAGATTATTAAGCGTTTGATTGATCTAGAAACAGTAAAAGAAAATTCACAAAATTATCCTAAGGAGGCCATGAACAAAATTACAAATAATGGTGAGTATTATTATCATGCAGTTGTATATTTTATACACAAAGAAAAACCTAACATAATTTTGTATAAATAGCATAAAAATACATCGTTATTTGCCTTAAAAAAGCTTAAAATTAAGGAAAAAGACTTACGAAGGTTTATTAACGCCAATATGGCGGATGAACTAAAAATACGATGTCCGAGATACTTCTAAAAAGGGGTTTTCTAACGATTTTCTCAATTTTACTAAACACTTCACTTTGGATGAAGTTCATAGTCCTTAATTTAACTAATTAATTCATTGCATTAAAACAACAATTCACACAGTCCTTTTTAAATCATAAAAAGCACAACACGAACTCGTAAAGGAACAAACGAGTTTCAGACATGGCCGCCAAGCGCGAAGCAAGTGTTGAGCGTCTTTCGTCATATTATCTAACATTCAACATTCACTATTTAATTCTGTAAATAAAAATAATATGATAATTTTGTATTAAAAAGTACATAAAATGTATTATTTTGGTTAATTATGGCCGATGACATACGTTTGCGTAGAAATAATACGATTCATTTATTTAGATTTTAGAACGTAAAAATTCAATTTCTATGTTTGCATTTTTCGCCATTAAGTGTTACCAGTTGCAACCAGCAGGCAGCAACCCATCTGTGTTCCCTATTCTGTTATTTGCAGTTTCCATGATTCGGCCAGATTAGATTTAAATGTTACAAATATTTTATATTGTAAAATATTTTGTGTTGGGTTAGCATAACCTAATTCCAAAAGCTAAAATATCGATTAAGATCTCGTAAATTTTAAAATATGTGTTTCTAATTTTGCTGCAACCAATTAAAGCGAACTACTAATAAATCTCAATCATCAATATTATATAATATAAGTTAAAGTATTTAAATTACTATAACAAGACGTAGTCAACTATCTTTTTTTTGGTTTTACATACAGTTTTTGCAGTATTGTGATCGCTTCTTCGTAGTTCGTGGCTTCGCTTATATTTGGTGATATATGATTTACCAAAAGCTGAAACTTTATGCTGTCCGATTTTTCTGGCGGAGGAACCGACTGTGCATCTATTTCTGGAGCGGTCGCTTTCTGCATATTATTTCTTGATAATAAACGAATAATTGTTAATTTTTTTTATAGGCGTCGGGACGTGATGACCCCATCGCCCACTGGTGAAATAACCTGTGACAGAGGTTATTTCATCAGCGCAATCAGTCAACCCCTTCCTAGTGGGAGTGCCATGCTGTTGCCTTCGGGCTTCAGCCAAATGGGCAGGCACGACCGGGGCAGTACCACTGTCTCTTAGAAAACCGGCGTGAAGTGATGCAATAGGTTCGCCTTACTCGCGTTTCGTACGGTGAGGGAGACTCCCGGAGCCCATCCCCCCCCCCCATATTAAGGTGCAGAACAAACAGAATCTACCCCAGGGGGTACCACACGCGCTCGCGGTGGAGTATCCCCCTCTGGGCGTCCAACACCGGGACACTCAGCACCCGGTGGTGGACGCACAAGCTGCCCTTCGTATTCTGGGGGGGGGGGCAATTCTGCGCTCAACAAAAACAGTTATCGTTCTCGGGGCAAACGGAGCAATTCAACAAAGGCACCCCCGTCCACGCTCGCGTGGACTTCACAAATGTTAGGGGGCTCAATTTCAATATCAACGCAGTCCACTACCATTTAGAGACTGCGAAGCCGGCCTTGCTCTTTCTTACCGAGACTCAGATTTCCTCCCCGGCTGATACTTCCTACCTCTCCTACCCGGGGTACAAATTGGAACATTCATTTGTGCCGTGGGCGGGAGTTTGCGTGTACGTCAGAGAGGATATCTGTTCTCGTCGCCTCGGGACGCTTGAAGGAAGGGACCTATCTAACCTCTGGCTGCGCGTAGACTGCGATGACCATCCGCGATTCTACGCATGCCTGTATAGGTCCCATAGCGGAAATACCGAAACTGACCGACTCATTGAGCACATCTAAATGGATACAGATTCCCTGCTCGAAAGGGTTCCTACCGCTGAAATCGTGATACTTGGCGATTTTAACGCCCACCATGCCGATTGGCTCGGCTCTGAAACCACCGATCACGCGGGAAGATCCTTTCACGACTTTGCTTTAGCCTCCGACCTGACACAAATGGTCCCTGCGATTACGCGAATACCTGACCATCCACGGTTATAAACCCTCTTTGTTGGACCTTCTGCTGACTTCACATCCGGAGAACTATCAAGTCTCTGTTGACCCGCCATTGGGTTCATCGGATCATTGTGTGGTCCGGAGTACTGTGCCATCTACGCGCCCTTTACGGCCCCGCTTTATGGGTTGTCGCCGTATTTGGCACTATAAGTCAGCAGATTGGGACGGGATGCGGTCTTTCTTTGCGTCCTACCCTTGGGGGCCTATGTGCTTTTCGCCGGAAGCTTCAGATTCCGTCGCCGCCTCTGTCGCCGAAGTGGTTCTGCAGGGCATGGAACTCTTTATTCCATTTTCTGCGGTACCGATCGGTGGATCTGCCGGTTAAAGTTCTTGCAAGGCGGCCTCGCGTCGAAAGCGAGAATGCTTTATGGCATGGGCGGAAGCGGCGAAATCTCGTGATGCCAATACCAGCGAACTTAAAACAGCATATAACTCAGCCTCCAGGTTCTTCAAACGGGAAATCACTAAGGCAAAGTCAGAGCACATTGCCAGATTTGGCGAGAGATTGGCCCAGCTCCCTTCAGGGACTCGAGCCTTCTGGTCTCTCGCCAAAGCTGTCCAAGGGAATTTTTGTCAGCCCGCCATTCCGCCACTGCACATGGAGGATGACTCTCTGGCCCACACTGCGAAGGAGAAGGCCGACCTTTTGGGCTGTCTCTTCGCGTCCAACTCGACTTTGGATGACCAAGGAAGACCACCGTCCATTTCGCGGTGTGATTCTTCGATGCCGGAAATCACATTCCGGCAACGTGCTGTCCGCAAAGCACTATCTTCCTTGGACATTCATAAGTCGAGCGGACCGGATGGTATCCCCCCCAATTGTGCTGCGTACTTGTGCTCCTGAGTTGGCTCCGGTCTTAACGCGCCTTTTCCGGTACCTGTACTCGCTCGGCACTGTCCCGAAGTGCTGGAAGACCGCTTCGATACATCCGATCCCTAAAAAAGGCGATCGCTCTGATCCGTCCAACTATCGCCCAATAGCTATAACCTCCTTGTTCTCCAAAATAATGGAAACCATTATTAATTGCCAGCTCTTGTGGTATCTAGAGGGCCACCAGTTGATTAGCGATTCTCAGTACGGCTTTCGTCGTGGTCGCTCAGCTGGTGACCTCCTTGTATACCTTACCCATAGGTGGGCAGAGGCAATTGAGTCCAAGGGGGAGGCGCTAGCGGTAAAAAAACACCCTTTGTCGCTACTCCTCTTTTCGAAAACACTCTTCTTAAAGCCACAGCCAGCATTGGAATACTTGGCGTTGACATATCGAACGACGTTCAGTTTCGCGGTCACTTGGAGGGAAAGGCTAAATTAGCCTCCAAAAAGCTTGGTGTGCTCAGCAAGGCGAGACGGTACTTCACTCCGGGCCACCGCATGCAACTATATAAAGCGCAAATTCGGCCCCACATGGAGTACTGCTCTCACCTCTGGGCGGGGGCTCCCCAGTACCAGCTCCTTCCACTTGACCGTATACAACGCAGAGCGGTTCGAATCGTCGACGACCAATCCCTCTCCGAGCGGCTTGATCCTTTGGCGTTGCGTAGAGATGTGGGGTCACTCTGCATCTTCTACCGCATTTACCATGGAGAGTGTTCAGAGGAGTTGTTCGGATTAATGTACTGAAGTATTTCCGAACCAATTCGACTTAGGGTCCTTCAAGAAAAGAGCGTACCAATTCTTAAAAGGCCGGCAACGCACTCGAAAGCCCTCTGGCATTGAGAGTGTCCATGGGCGGCGGTATCACACCATCAGGTGAGCCTCCTGCCCGTTTGCCCCCCGTACTATAAAAAAAAATGTTATACCATATATGTAATAGATAAAATTATACAGGTACTATGTAATATTATATAATCGTCATTAAATCTTTAAAATTTTTCTTAGACACTCTTTAGTTTATTTGTTATCTTTTGTTATGAATTATTTGGTATGAGAGTTTTGTGTTTCTACAAGATTTAGCAGCTGATTGTTCTACATCGTTATTTTAAATAAAATATATTTTCTAGCTAATTCCCCGACTATGTTGTCGTTGGAGGTATTAAATAACTTACCTATATGAATAACTTAAGTATATTGTATCGGAAACCCGGATGATTAAGCACTACTACTTATTTCTTTCAACAACTTTTTAATAAATGTTATATAAACGAAATAGTAAATGTTATATTACAGCAAACTCTAAAAAGATGCCTCTTATCCTATTGTTAAACATTATTTCTTTTAAATTCGTCTCTGTTACTTTTATTCCCATAACTTGTTCAGTGTTATACCTGTCGTATCCATAGATTGGACAGTCAGAGGACATGCAACACCGTCTCTTCAGCTGTGTTGCTACAAGGACAGGCAGCACTTTGTCTAACCCTAAACCTGTAAAGATACGACAATAATCCACCTTGACCTGTCAACAATCTCGTTGGTTTTATTTGTCTAACTATAGAAAAGAACGAAACGACAATTGGAAGGAATAACTTAGTTATTACAAACAGCTGCAATAACCGCCACCGCCGTTGCCATATCTGTACTTCCATTCTTCTATCGTGTTTCCACGTAGACAGTTCTTTAAATGCGAATTTATTGTACGCGGGTGCGTCTTCTAGAATATAATAGAAAGATGTTATTTCCCTGGTTCATATGTTATATATAATCGATTTCACCTAGTCTAGTATTAGTTAGAAGAGGGTTGTGCTGTCCATATGCGAGGTAGACTTTACCAAGGGTCTCTAGGTCCTCGATGTGCATCTCGCGAAGTCGGCGCAGCATGTCCTCGTTTAGATCTTGTGCACGGAGATGCAATGCATATCCCAGAGTATTGAAGTTCGTTAGGCGTCTTGGGAATCGTCCGATGGTTTTAAGAGCCATTCGATATTTGCATTAAATTCTTAGTAAATTGCTCTTACTGTAACGTGAGAGCCATTTTACTACGCCATAATGCAAAATAGGAAGTAGGCAGGCCTGAATAACAGTGTTTCACAGTCATATCCGTTTCGACGGGCCAGCCTGTGATAGGGGCTAATTCACCGCGACGTCTGTTTGCCCATGCTCATCGTCTTGTCTAAGTGTACGCCCAGATATATTATGCCACTTTTATATTCTATTACCTCGTCTTTAATGCGGATGCTTCTAAGGTAGTTTCTCTCGTGAGTGAATATAGCAAACTTCGTTTTGTCTATGTTGCAATTTAGCCTCCAGTGATGGTAGTAGTCGATAACGGTGTCGGTGGCCCAGCCCGCGAGTTGTGTCGCGCAGTCTGGTTGGGAGACCTGTTAAGGATGCACAGGCCATCGGCGTATTGGGAGGTATGAGACCTTCGTGGTTTATTGAATCGAAGGCCTTCGGAAGATCCGTCAGGACTATGCCTACACTTTCCCTCGCTTCCAGTGCGTCCGTAATGAACTTGCTGGTACGTAGGATCTGTATGCCTGTGCCTCTGTTCTTGGTAAAGCCATGTTGGAACGGCGGTTGTAGTCTGTCGGCCGTCTGTCTGAGGCGCGACAAAAGCAGGATTTCGTATAGTTTACCCATGATGTTTAGGAGAGTGATGGGTCGGTACGATTTGGCTTTGTGTAGGAAGATACACTCCCCAATTTTCCATCTGTTGGGATAATAACCTGTCAGTAACAGGTAGTCTTCTATCACTTTGTACCCGATGAGGAAAGGATTGCCTCCGAGTAACCAGCTGCCCACTGTAGTATTTTCCAAACCAATTCGACTTTGGGACCTTTAGGGCAAGAGCGTACCAATTTCAAAGGCCGGCAACGCACAGGCGAGTCTTCTGGTAGTGTGCGTATCTATCGGCGCGCACACACATGTAAGCTTCCTGTCCGTTTGTTGTCTCCCCTATTATATAAAAAAAACTCGTAGGATTTAATAGGTATACCAAAATATGTTGAGGCATTTAAAATATTTCAAATTACGCCATTTTATAAATCTTTAGCTATAAACGCATTCGATAAACTTTTAGACGCTGCGGCGTCCACAAAAAGATTTACAGGCACTGTATGCCCTAGTATTCAAAACTTTTGAGATTTGTAAATAAATAGGCACTAGTCGAATGTAAATGAAGGCATTTAAATAAATAAAGGTTAATAATAAATAAATAAAATTAATTTATGTTTTAAAGACTACATGGTATGGTAGTAACAGTCCTTGGTGGCCATTTTTTGTAACGAATGTATGTTTTTAGGTATACACGTTTTTTTATGGCAATAGCTTTAACTTTATGAAGTACACTCGTTTCTTGTAGGTAGGTATTAGCATTTTGCAGGCTCTATTTACTTTTATCTTTGACATGTTGTTGTAGGCTAGTATAATATTAGACATGTAACAATTATCCTAAGTGTTTGCTGTTGATACTTGCTAGTCTGTGTGTTACGAATTATGATTTATGTATACAAAATTAAGAGAGATCAAAGATGAAAGAATTTGAAATATATTTCTTGTTATTTAATAGATAGTGAAGTCATTATATAAAAATGAAGTCCACGTGTAATAGTGCTGGACGACCTAACAATAAAAATGCTATTAAGTTTAGTCAGCAACCAAGATCAACTGTGTCGCTGTTTCTTCTAAAGGAACGACAAAATAAATTTGATAAGAAAGAATCATGTATTGCCAACACATTGCCTGTAACAATCAATCCAGAAAATGTATCTCATGACGAAGTAATACAAAATCACGAAAAACCAGGAAAATTATGTTTTGTAGAATGTAATCTAGACATAAGTGATACGTTAAAACCTTTAGAGGAACCTGTCTCAAATTTAATCAATGTTTCCTCTGAATTTAAAAATATTCTGCCATCTCTTGAAATAAACCACACTCAAATATTTGAATTTAATAAAAATCTAGTTGAAGGGTAAGTATTTACCAACTCGTTTAAGTTTTGATTAAAATATATATAAAATAACTGGTGTTGTGTTTCAGACAGATAAGCCATGGAATGAAAAGTATTATTGTAGGAGGCATGAAATTATTTTCATGTTCATATCCACAGTGTACTTATAATACAAACAATTCATCTAATATGTCCAAACATAAGAGAACTCATTCTCAAATTAAGCTTTATCAGTGTGATCAATGTACATTTAGTACCAAATTTTCTAATTCTCTAAATGTACACAAGCGACTTCATACACAAGAAAAACCATTTGCTTGTCATAATTGTGACTATAAATGTAATAGCAGTTCTAATTTAAAAAAACATCTCAATCATAGACATTCCACTCAGTATATTCAACCAACTTCTTCCAATAAAAATATTTAAGATCCGCATAATAAAAAATAAATAACAATTAACAACAAGCTTAATAATTCTACAGTGAAGAAGCTGGAAATAGTATTAAGCAAGTCTTCTAATTTATAATGTTAATCTTTATTTTGAAACAATTTTAAGATATTAATTTGTATAATGTAAAGGGCTCTCAAGATCTGCATAATATTCATTCAAATGTAATTTTACTATAGATTTCAATGAGTTTTGTATTACATTTTTCAGACATTTAATACATAGAGAAACATATGTAATACCCATCCTTTTTACTTAAAATATAGTATTACAGTGTGAACACCATCTTATGTTCCTAAAACGTCAAAATTACCAAACTTTGGTTGTTGTTTACCTTGTTGTCTATATATATCATATGTCTCTGTATAACACCAGATAATGAGCAGAGTTTACACCATATATCAACCTTGATACATTATTCTTAAACAAAGCCAACAAGGCTATTGCTAAAAGTTTATTTCTATGATTTTATAAAATTGTGTTCCTTTTTATAATATCATATTTTAGCTTTTTCCATTTATCTAGTCTTCATTGATTATTAATATAATTTCTTTTAAGTGAAAAATAAAAATAATAATAATTTCAAAGCCTTTATTCTAAACACCTATAACATTTAGTAATAACTGGTAAAAATCACCCAAAAAGGCTTTCTTATTGTATACATAATATTTTGAGTTTTGTAGCGAGGTTTTAAAAATAACAATACTACATAGGTATTTCTTACTATATTATGTCAGTGACAATGTTCTGTGAAGTCCACAACAACAGACTCGCGCCAACCAAATAAAAAGTATCCAGTTGCAGATCCTAGCACAACTGCTGCACAAAGCCATGTATTATATGTCATGAACACCAACATTAACATATAGCTTACAAGTACTTGAAAACCATGAAGTACTGTTTGCCAAGCATGTGCTGTACTCATCATTGTTGGACTGAAAAATTTAAATGTTATTAGTGTATCATCCTCCAAATTTTGATGGAATTTAGATTATATAGATTTGTTAAGACAAAACTTCAGAAAAAGACATGGATGCCGATGGATTTATGAATGTAATCATGTATAGTGCACTTATGGAAGTATGATGAGGAGGTTTTAATTAAACTAAATATTACTTACACATTCCTGTCTAGTGCATGTGGAACCGGCCTGAAACCAAGTAAGGAAAGTAGTAATGAAGCTAATTACAACAGAAATATTTCTTAAAATATAACTTACTGTATAACTTGAGGCTCATCTGGATTGCAAATATTAGCTACTCCCTTGTCTGGTGGAGCAACAGCACAATATTGAAGGCCTGTATAAGTTTTCCATAGTAAATGTTTTCTGTAGTACTTGAGCCTATAAAATAATATACAATTCTTTGAGACATACCAAATTTCACTTATTGACCTACTAGTAAAGTAGTAGTGTACAAAGTTGTAATTATTAAGTAAATTCTACGAAGTATGAAAGTTGAAATAAATTTATGATAATGATTATAGAATATTTAGGGATATAAATGAATATAATTTATTAAATTTATTCATTCATATACTTACAGATATTTATTTAATACTAGTTCATTCACACCATTGTAAAACAAATTGAGCAATTCAGTTAGCTTACTGACAATACTAAAACTTTTAAATATGACATACCCTTCATAACATAGAGCAATGAGAAAGATTGCTAGAAAGGATCCAAAAAATTCTCCAAGTTCTGATACCTTCCACCATGAGAAAAGAATAACTTCTTTGTAACCTCCGTGAAACTGGAAATGCAAATTTTTTTATGTGATGAGGAAAATGTCTAAACTAAATATAATTAAGTGACATTACAATTTTACTACTTTAATTTCTACTTTTCCTTGTTGGACTGAATATTTATTTATCATGATTATTCTTAACAAGTAGGTACATGGTTGTTATCTAGTTCTAATGTAATTAAGTTACAGATATTTTATCTTATCAGACATAAATAATGTTCAATGGACTTACTGTCATACTCATACTCATTTCATGTCCAACATGGTGGTTATGGTGATGACCTTCATGAGCCTTAGCTTGTGGGTCACCAGGCATCATGTCTACACTCGATATGTTAAACATTTCCTGTAATATTATGATTTTAAACATGACACTAATAAATAAATAACTTGATAAGTGAAGTCAACTTACATTTATACCTTCATTAAAATCTGAACTATTCATAACATGCTCTTCATGTCCCATATGCTGTTCCATTCCTACATCTATATGGCTGCCATGGTTTGCATGGTGCATGTGGTGGTCCATAATTCAAACAACCTAAAACAAAGGGTTACTCTATAATGAATGCAAAATTAAGCCAAACTTTTTGCCTCTCAACCAAAACAAATTTACAAAACAGTAAAAAGTTTACATAACAAAGGGAATGAAGTGAATTGAAAAGAAGAATATAACAATAGGTCTTACAATAAACATTCTGTTACTTAAATAAAGTTAAAGTACTTTCTTAAAAAAAATACATGACACGCAATAGCCAGCGAAATTAAATACTTTGTATTAAATTTTATTTATCTAAATAAAATATAGTTCATGATCCTTAACCGTGTTATAAGTACCCTTAAATAATAATATATATATACCCGTTAAGTTTAAAAGCCAACTTTAAATCAATTTTTTAAAGAATATGGAAGCAGGCACGTATACATCTATGAAGTGAAAGGCTCCTGGCTCACACGGATTTCGTTTTTTAATCTGTTGTGTATTGTTGACTGATAGTAAATCCAATACGTTATTTAGCCTACGTTTTACATAATTATAATATGGTTCTAAATTACTTACAGTATATGTCGTAAACGTCTAGGATTTTTTAATTGTTAGTAGTTATCCGTCACGTACATTGTTATGGAAATACTCTGGTTAGCACAATAAATCTTTACTAATCAAAAAGCTAAAATTATGAAAAATTTTAATCAAAACCGATGTCTAATGTCAAGAATCTTACGTCATCTCTCTACAGTCAAGAGTCGCAGAACTGCATTCGTAGAACACATAGTATGTTATATAATATCTGTGACCACAATTGGCTATTTGCCAAGTTTTTTCTTATGTTACAGGAGGCAATTGGCAGGAGGCTCATCTGATGTTAAGTAATACCGTCGCCCATGTACACTCGCACTGCCAGAAGGCTCGCAAGCGTGCTGCCGGCCTTTTAAGAATTGGTACCCTCTTTTCTTCAAGGACCCTAAGTCGAATTGGTTCGGAAATACTTCAGTGGGCAGCTGGTTCTACATAGTGTTGGTGCGTGGCAGAAATTGCCATAAGGAACGCTCAGTTGTGTAACGACGGACGTCAAGGTGATACGGATGGTATTTTGTATTCTGCCTTGCGGACGTCAAGGCAGATAAAGATGAAACTCAGCTGTAAGTATTAGTCCGAGCAACTCCTCTGAATACTCTCCATGGTAAATGCGGTAGAAGAAGCAGAGAGATCCCACATCTCTACGCAACGCCAAGGAATCAAGCTGCTCGGAAAGTGACTGATTAAAAAAAACATTTCTGATTATTTATTAGTGTCCACAGTATCTACAAAAATATTTTTTAATTCTGAAAGTACTAACTTTAAATATTCAATGTCAATATTTTTACGTGTTATTAAATTACACAAATACATACATATAAAAATATGTATATCAAATCTTCGACGAATTTAATCTCCAAACATATTATTTACAAGCGATTCAACTAAACTATGACCATTTTGTTTCAAGTGATTGACGTATAGAAATAAATATCGTCCCCGTAGAGCGAAAACTCATTAAGTCCAAAAAACCTGTTTCGAGATAATGAGGGTTAAAGTTTTGAAATATATAAAATGCCATAACTTTAGCATGTCATGACATATTTTAATGTTTTTAGTTTCATTTTGAATTAAATCAAATTAAGTTAAAATGATGTTAGCTACCCAAAGTGATGATTAAGTTATTACTGAGAAAACCTAAAAAAAAAACAATTAGTTATTTGTTCTCTGTAGAATATCCGATATAGTTATGAATTAGTTAATATTTGCCCCTAGTTAGTGATTTTTCACTCAGATCGAGTTTATTTTTATGATAAATAGCTTGAGTTGGGTAATTTACGACTAACTGGTAGATATAGGTACATAATGAAAAAAAACTTAAGAGTTAATAATAAATAATTAATAATAAATATTTAGCGTTAATAATTTAACAATATTTAATATTTAGTATATTATTCAATTATTAATTAATATTAATAATAATGATTATTTATTATTTTATTATATTATTAATTCAATTTAATAACTAGGTATGTTTCATAACCTTTTAACTAAGTAACAATAGGTCTTTGTGAAAAAGCATTGCTAAATTTCTTTGAAAAAAATAATTAAAGCTCCTTTATTTGTTTAAAAGGTAAATGTCATTATGGTCATTAACTTCTTTAACTTCACGCATATTCTATTTATTTTTACTTGTAGATTGTCTTATTCCCATCTCGCTCGCGCACGCTATAGGTAATCACACTGACAACTTTCTGTCTCAGGTGCGCGCGCATCGTAAAATTTCACTCTCATCAATTTTTCATAACGCGCCTAAAGAAGTATAACTTCAAAAATATAGTTTTATTGGCATTGTTAACTCGATTTGGCCATTTTTCGACTTAATGAGTTTTCGCTCTACGGGGACGATATGTATGTACCTATTGTTTTTTACTGTTTACTCTAACCGTAGATAGACCATAGTCCGTCTACGACTCTAACCTATTAAATGTGACATTAGATTATACAAAAGCTAGGTACTTGGCATTAAACGTTATACGAGTATATTATATTAAGTCGCTAATAACCTTCTTACAAGTTTTGTATCATGCCGAAGAGGAAAAACACTATGAGAAATACACCCGATAATGTGTTCTTTGCCAATCCGAGACATGCGCCAATATGAAAGTGTAAGATTATCAGAAGGTATAAAGTATCTCGAATGTCATGTTGTTATTGATTTTAAGATATGCGCCGAAATGCGCCTCAAGTTGCAGTTGCGCGATCAGCCGGTACTCCTGGTAAGGCTGGAAGAAGCTTTGACGTCACTAAACTGCGGGATCCTGAAACTATGAACAAGTTCAGACTTGAACTCCGTAACCGCTTCACTGGGCCTCACGCTGACGATGACTATTAAGTATATTGAGCCGAAGAGTGGAAACGCATCGAAGTGGCCTAACAGAGACCAGCTTTTTCATCTTAGGTCACACTAAGCACTCGCGCGAGGGCTGGATGTCACAATCCACTTGGCAATTATCTGAACTCGCTATATCCGCATTGTCACTTCCTCACTCCAATGCTGAAGTGAAAGGGCATTAGCGCAATGAATATAGTAAAAAATAAATTAAGAAGCGAAATGACTGTTAACACTTTAAATAGCATTTTAAAAAAATCAACAAGATAATGAAGAATAACTGTTATAATAACGAGCTCTCAATTCTAAATACTCGTTTAAATCCAAAAAGTCTGACAAAATTGATGAATCCATCTCTGCCATCCACATTTGCAATAATCGAACAAAATGAAGAGCAGCAGAACTATTTGAAGTTTATTTTTAGTTTCGTTGGGTTTGATTTATTCGTTGTTTCCACGATTAAAATAAAAACAATAATTTACCTTATGTTTAAGTAATTTTAAATTATTTTGTGATTTTTTCGTTAATAATTCCCTTAATCTAGTGAGATTTCAAACCAAAACTAGTGAAAATTTTTTTGCAAGGTACAACACACTTATATGTACTCTATTATACTCAAGACGTGGCCTAAAAGACTAGATACCAGGCCAGGCCATAAACTCCAAAAAAAAAAATATGTCAGACTTCAGAGTCAGATGTCTGGTAATTGAATTTTGAAAGAGTTTTTAAATATGAATAATAATATTGGAACTGTGAAAGAATTTTAATTTCGTATTCATAATAATTCCCAGTACATATCAGCTTAATAGTAACCACTATTTTAATTAAGTAGTCTCAAATTCATCTATGATAGTAACCTTGTTAGTTGTTAGGGTTGGAATATGAACGTGAGCCCTAGTTCCTATCTATGAATGACATTAACTTAACATAGTTAACAAAAATGCGTTTTTCGAGTTGCCTTAAAAACTGTAACACTTTGCCACACGCGAAATTTATAAAGGAATTAGAAAAAAATTTCATTCCCCACAGCGCTTTTCAAAAAACCTTGTTAGGCGTAGGAAGCGCAGTTGTTGCTCTCTTCGATCCATATAGAGCAGATATGATATCATGTATGGGAGAAGTAACTGGCGGCAAAGCTTTAAATTATATGAGGCAGAAAATGCTAGAAACGAATGAGGGTGCCGAAATTCTACGCGACATGCCTCGTATAAACTCCCAAATAGTATGCTTCAAAACATTGTCACAAATGCCTCAAAATACATTGGGACGTGTATATGCAGACTTTATGGTGGAAAACAAAATTACGGCAGACTCAAGATTACCTGTCCATTTTATAGATGATCCAGACATGGCTTATGTTATTCAACGTTACAGAGAAGTTCATGATTTAGTGCATGCAACATTATTTATGAAAACAAATATGTTGGGTGAAGTAAGTTATATATAATAGAGTAACATATAATTGAGTGATACATAAGTGTAACTAAACTTATAATGTTACTATTTTAAGGTAACTATTAAATGGATAGAGGGCATTCAAACAAAGTTACCAATGTGTATTGGTGGTGGAATATGGGGTGCAGCTAGACTTAAACCAAAACATAGACAGTTATACTTAAAGCAATATTTACCATGGGCTATCAAGACAGGAAATGATGCAAAGTTTATGCAAGGTATGTCCATTAATTAAATCATTATCTAGCTTACAAATTGACTAAGGAAATAATTAATTTACAGGTATATACTTTGAGAAGCGGTGGAATCAGGATATAAGTGATTTTCACAGAGAAATGAACATAACACGGCTCACTGGTACTTAGATTATTATTAAGAAAAGTTATTGAACTAGTATATTGACATGTAAAAATTGTGATAATAAAATACTTTAAACAATTAACTTAATTTATTTTATAATAACATTTCTGAACTGCGTCCATTAGGATTGTGAAGAACAGTTGCATTGTCACTAACTTCTACTATCCACTCATACCAAACTCTTCGAGAATCAACACAACGCCAAAAGGTGGCCTTGATTTTTTCTCCTTTATGGATTCTTAGTGGTGTCTGAAAGAAAAGTTAAATTAAATTGTTTAAATTGATTACCACCTATCACATAATTAAAACAATATACTTGGCTAAAGCTGAGTTCTATAGTAAGATTGTTTCATTCTCATAGCACCTTTATTTAACTGTGTTAAGTCATATTACTCATTGTAGGAAGTAAAAAGCTTTGACAGTCATGGTCTGCTCAAAATATAATGACTTGTCATCACCAGGTTTCCACCAGAATGTAAAACTGAAGCTGTAATAGTATGGAAAGCCTTGGACATTCAGATAAAGAGTATTACTCACTTTTATTGGAATAAATACTGGAAACCAAGATATCATTCCAGGGCTATGTGTACTTGGTACAATGCTTAACATTTCATCGCCATATAGTGCACAGTCAAAGTAGCCAGCAAATCCATGCATCACATTGTCTTGGGTGACTTCCCATGTAACAGTTGTTTTCCTACGATTGTCAGTTAATGGTAGCCCCCTATAGTCTAACATTGTCTCACCCTCACTATTTTTAATACCTTCTGCTGGGTGTGAGAATTTAAAAACTTCCTAGAACAATAGTTTAAGAATTATAAAGTTTATTTAAATACAGGTATATCTAATCAAATATTTAAACTTATTGCTTATTTGTAGAACTTTGGTGTTATTAAAAATATTGTGTTTGATTCTAACATACCTTACATTCAGCTATGTCATGTTTATTTTGCATATACACCACCCACAATGTTTCTAAGTTCTTTTCCATTTTTTGTGAATCACCAAGGCAAGCTATTTTAGCTGCTGCCCACAATCGTGAAGAGCTTATTGGATTTACATAAGATGTGTATTCACAAGGTATTGAAATGCCATTTGGTTTCAAGAGGCATGATGCACCATCTAAACATTCTGGTGAGAGTTCATTATCTGCCCATGACCCTGAAATTTTTTTTGATAATGTAAAATAATTATTTGTGATGTAACATCTTTATTGTAGGATAAATTAATTTATTTTTGGCAAAATGTTTTTTTACTTAAGTGGAAAAGGCAAAATAAATATGCAATATTTGAAATTAAAAATAACTTACGAAAAATTCAACATTACCCAACAATTCCGACACTATAATATCTGCCTTTGGTGACAAGTTCATATATCTCATATCACCAGGTACAACAGTGACGTCACGATCACACCACAACTCCCGAACTTGTGCTGCTAAAACCACTACAGCTCCTGGATTCTTTTCTACAGCTATAACCTGTATAAAAAACATACAATGTAAAGGGGTTAGCCTAAGAATTAAAGGTGGTTAGTACTATATACACTCTACAATCTGTTTCTTGGTAACCTGTCATATTAACAAGTGTTTTAAAGTATTGTCTTTTATTAACATAACTTTTACACATTTAAAGAAAACACTTTTTACCGGATTAAAGTTATGTATTATTATAAACTTATAATTATTTTACATAATTAAATTTTTTTAACTATGTAAAATAATTATATATAACGGTGGAGCACGCGAAACGTCGGATTTTTATTATTATTATGTAAAATAATTATACGTTTATAATAATACATAACTTCAATCCGGAAGATAAGTGTTTTCTGAAAACTGAAGAGATGTCATTGGGATGACACATCATGTTAAAATATGTGCATGTTGTTAAATTTGATTAAATGGTTACAGTTTTGTTTAAATTGTTACTTTTTTATTTATAATGTATTTATTATTACAGTACAATTCAAATAAACAGAAATGTTCACTAACAACACATGGCAACATTGGCATTTGGCAAAAGGGTTTAAATTTTTCCTCCGTTCAAGATAGGTGTTTAAATTAATTTTTCATATGGTTTAATAATTAAAGTTTCTAATGGAGTATAACTCAATAAGAAATAATATCTTATAACACATGTAATGTTTAATTGTTGTCTATAAAATATTTAAGTTTTTGATTTTGTATATAATTTACCTTTACTTCAGTATTAGTCATTTCAGCAGCATTCAAAGTGGCACGGACAAGAGGGCCACGACCTGCTCCAAGGACCATAACAGTGACTGGAGTTTTTGTATTACTTTCACTATCTCCTTTTGTATTACTTTCACTATCTCCTTGACCCTTTTCTTTTATTATATTGGATGTTGGAGATTCTTTCTATAAGAATATTAATAATTAGTGTATATAAGATAAAAGTAAGTAGTAAGTAATTGTAAAAGTTAGACGAATCTATAACCACAACTTATATCAAACACGTCAGAAAGTAGACTCATAATTTTGACAAAGGCATAGTCTCTTCAGTGCTCTTTCGCGACTTTTGAAAACGTTTTTGACATTCATAAGCATGCCCTAACACGCATCTAAATTAAATAAACATAATTTGATTTGAAACACAAAAACTACAAATCCAGATTTTAAGTTCTTACTAGGAAAATTGAATCTTTTGTAATATTTAAAATTAAAAAGACTTATTTATAATACTATTAAATAGTAGTACTGGCTAGTATATGAGAGTATATAGAATATTGAATGTTCAATATTTCACTTTTTTGACTTACACTTAACTTACATCTAAACTGTGTTGACAACTATTTTTCTTTTGAAGGTCTGCAAGTGCTTTAACAATTGCATTCTGGTATTGATTATATTTTATTGGATCTTTTTCAAACACATTATATGTGTGGGTATCAAGATTGTCTGCTAAAGGTTGTAATGGTGTCTGTAGATAGTCCTCCCATCTAAAAAAAGATGTTATTAAAATGTAAACATAACATCTATTAATACAAATATAAATTGTTTTAATAATTTAAAAGGTAACACCACTACTATTAATATATTCACATGTATACAAATTAGCTATAAATGTATCCCAGAACAGTTGTGCAACAATTACACTGAACACAATAGTGGCAAAAAATAATAATATAAAATGAAACTTTACCACTGGAAACCAACTAAATTGAAGAATAGTTATGGATACAAAATAAAATTTAAAAACTATACAATAATAACAATATTAGAAAGTATCGAAGGCCATTAGAGATTTAAAATTATGTTGTATAAGGCCACTCCTGAAACTATAAATTTGTTTTGTATTGTATTTCATTTGACATAATCATACTTTAAAAATTTTATGATAGTAAATTAAAAATTTTAGGATAAATAATTAACTGTTGTCATAGGTATTCCACAAAATTTTCAGGTTACTTTTATTGTCATTCCTAAAGTAGATAGTAAAATTTTATAAATACCAAGTTAACTCAATATGCTGTAGATAGAAAAAAATAATGCTTAAAATCTGAGCACCACAAAAACCTTTGTGAATTTTTTGGCTATACAGCTATAAGAGTAAGTAGCTGTCAGCTTACAGAAGCTGAATCTAATGGTAGATGGCTAAAAGGTAAAACTTAGATATAAACATGATATTCAAGACAAAATATATGTTCATTTGTAACTTCTAATATTTGTTATAAAAGAAATAATATGAAACTATTAATATATGTAATACAAACCCTCTTGCAAAACTGAACATAGGAGTATCAGCAGGTCTTCTTTGCCATAGTCTAAATAAATATTGTAAATAATATTCAATATTTGAGCGTCGGGCCCCACTAACAATTACTTGTGCATCTCTTTCCACCATATTGACCACTAATTGTTGATGAGCCCGTGATAGTACTGGATATCTGAAATGTGATTTGATCAGAGATAAGTAGAATTGGATTTTTTATTTTTTTAAAGTTAATAAATATAAACAATTATCATATAAAATATTGCAACAATCAGATATTTTATATAAAGACCTACCCTTTTTTATTGTTATGGAATACATGTGTTGGCAGGATAATGGCTTTAACTGGTTCACCAAGCCACCTTTTAATAATATCATTTGATGGTAAATCTGCAGATATTTCTAATACAACACCAACTCTTTTATCCCAATTCATATTTTGATGAAATCTAGACCACCAGTACCAGGTTTCATCATAAGCAACATCACATTTGTTATCTTCAAGATCTTCAGAGTTTCTCAATGTCCGTTTACAAAACATTGGTACAGATGTCCATATTAATGTTGGAAAGTTACTAAAAAGAAAAAAAACTATAAGACTAATATTTTCAACCTAGTTAAGCATCAAATCTCAGTTATCTTAGAATTTTACCTTGTTTCTTGATATGTTTGCAAAATTCTAGCCAGGTTAGTGTTATGTTTGGAATGCAGAGATATCATAACAGCTGGAACACCCAAACCGCGACAATATAGGAGCTCTTCATGTAAATAGTACTCATGACGCTTTTGTACAACAGGAGATGGAGCATCAACAGTGAGATATGGAGACACCCTAGCGACGATACGATTAGTCCAATCTTGTGGAGACAGTATCATATCTGATCTAGTAAAGCCTCCAGCTGGAATTCTGTGCGGTAGATATGGTCTACGAAAGCGTGGATGAATTAACGGCGTCACAATAAAGGAATAATTTGCCTGAAGCGCTTCTGATACGCATTCTTGAATATCTGGTGTAAGTGAATATTCTAATCCACATGAAATATCCTGCTGTGTCATAATAGAATTTGATCAATACCGATGTAGTTCAAAAATAAAGGATTCAAGTGTTTAAAACAGTTAATTTGTAATGGATATAAGGATAGGTTATAAATTGGAAATACCGAACCGGCAATTTTTAATTGCCGACAGTCGACACAGAGTACAGACTACAGACTAATAACTTAAGGGACATAATTGAGACAACTGACAAAGTCATGTTTCGACAGGCGTTACCCACTAACGCGAAACGAATTTGTATAAAATTGGAAAAGTGGCAAAGCGTGAGCTAATGTCATTCTTATACTAACTCCTTTGGCAATATTCTATCGTAGTCTATGGATTAGTGATGGTATAGGCAGCGGCACGTAAGCCTAGCGCTGGCCGATACGTGGAGGGGATTGCTGCGCATGTGTACTGTCGCGCACGCAATACATTATATGCCACTTTGATTAATGATTACCTAAATAACGATATTAAGCTGAATCTCACTTTGGATTTGTTTCAAAGAATCAATTAATTCGTTCGATTCCCTATTTAAAAAACAATTCACGTCATAAAGCATTTTCCTGGCTTGTCTTTTCAAAACAGTATTTGTTCTAGGCATATTCACTTTAAAGTCACAAACAAACTTAAAAACAAATAACAAACAACAAAACACTAACAAATTCAAACGTGACAAAAAACAACAAAACGTGTTAAACAGTAACAATAATATTAATGACGCGACTGTACACGGGATGTGCGCGGGGCGTCGTATCGGTGCTGGGGACGGAATGCGACTGGAGTTGGGGTGTGAAAAAATAATAGATTATTAAAAAAATCGATTAAAATCGATTTTTTTAAAAGTAAACATCGATTTTTTTACGCGATTTTTATAATTCAAAATCAATCATAGTCGATTTTTCATCTGCCTCCAGACATTATGTCTGGTCTTTTATAACCCGGACCTCGAACTATTAGGGATATTAGATATACATCGATGTTTACAATGCGATACATTGAATCCGATTCTTTGAAGATGTATTGATATACTCGATGCATGATGTTTATTTGTAAAACATCGAAAGGATGATATGATGGTTAATTTTACAAAAACTCAAGTTTGAATGGAACACTATAATTTAAAAGTAAAATAAATTTATTCAGCGGCACAAGATTACATACAATTAAAAAGACAACAAAAATACTGCAATGTGCTACTGAAAAGGCATACACTCAGCATTTATCAAATTTCACCTAAAATCTATCAAAATGAGATTAAGTTAATTTCGATTTTGATTATTCTTAAACGTTACTTTGTGTTTATAATTTATATTGTTTATTTAAAAAAACCATGAAAAATAAAATATTTAGGGTGTGTATTTTGAAATTAATTCAAAAATTAGGAAAAAATGGATTAATAAAAAAATCGATTATATTTTTAAGAAAAATCGATTATTTATTAATCGATTTTTCATGCTAAAAAAATAATCGATTAATAAAAAAATCGATTTTTTTTATGCAGAATGTCATATCCCTAGACTGGAGTGCCAATCGCCGCTACGCGCGCCCGCGCTTCATTCCGCTAGCCCCTCTCAGGTACCTTATTTTTTACTTCTGCGCAATAACGAGAGGAGAGTCGCCTTGGACAGCACGCAGTGGAAAGAATTGGAGGAGGCCTTTGCCGAAAGGCACACTGTAATTAGGGATATTTTATAATTTTAATTTATATATACTAACTTTAAAACTTACAGTAATAAAGGCATCTATTTTTTATGTAATACCTATTTTATTTGTTTTTTCGTTTCATAAAAAGGTGGTTCAAAAGTTTTAATTAAAATTATTAATATCGATCTGAATTTTTTTCTGTGTGGATCGAGATAAAAGTACTTCGGATTAATATATTTAATCTATATATAGCTTAATATTTTAACTTTATTAATATCAATCTAAATTTATATTTTAATAATCGAAATAATCAGAAAATATAGTTTTATTTATTAAAATATCAAAGATATCTGTTACTTCATTTGTCATGTGGCAACATCAGTCACCTCAATTCACTTCACTATACCTCACAACCACACGTATGACGTATCGTACATAAAGGTACCAACAGTACAGAATGAGGTCCTCAAATGAGGTGGTACATACAAACACTTCAATTTCGTTTGTCCTACAAGTAGCGGCACGAAACTCTAGCGCTAACCGTAAACCGTTATTATAAAATAAAATAAAAATAAAAATAGCCATTATTACTGTAAGTTTTAAAGTTAGTATATATAAATTAAAATTATAAAATCAGGTTCTGTCCAAGGCGACTCTCCTCCCGTTATTGCGCAGAAGTAAAAAATAAGGTACCTGAGGGGGGCTAGCGGAATCAAGAGCGGGCGCGCGTAGCGTCGATTGGCACTCCAGTCTAGGGATGTGACATTCTGCATAAAAAATCGATTTTTTATTAATCGATTATTTTTTTAGCATGAAATTTTAAATTAAAAAAATGGTGCGTGTACTTATGTACGCGCGTAAGAAGTTATACTTCTTTGGTTTTCTTTATTTTTTTTAAATATTAAATAATTAATAATAAATATTTAGCGTTAATAATTAAACAATATTTAATATTTAGTATATTATTAAATTATTAATTAATATTAATAATAATTATTATTTGTTATTTATAACTAGGTATGTTTCATAACCTTTTAACTAAGTAACAATAGGTCTTTGTGAAAAAGCATTGCTAAATTTCTTTTAAAAAATAATTAAAACTCTTTTATTTGTTTAAAAGGTACTACTAATGTCATTATGGTCATTCAAAATTCTTGGCATAGCTGCTAACGTCACGCATATTCTATTTCTTTTTACTTGTATATTGTCTTATTTCCATCTCGCTCGCGCACGCTCGGCGCCCATACTGATAATTTTGTGTCACGGTGCTCGCGCATCGTAAAATTTCACTCTCATAATTTTTTCATAACGCGCCTAATGAAGTACAACTTCAAAAAAGGTAAGAAAAGTTAAATTAAAAAAATTAAGTCATATGTTACAAAATAATATCAACTACCTTAACGAGTTTGAAGCGGTACAAAATGTGTGTTTGAGGTGATGGGACATTTTATAACTTTGAGTGTGACATTTGAATTTTGAGGTGCCTCATGGCTCATGTATGAGGTGCGCAACACTACTAATTACTATGGATAGAACTTAAGTCTTCTGTCGCTCATGACTATTGACTACTGAAGGACGTAATTTAAGGGAAATACGATCGTAGACTGACGCGTTTTTCGATTTAATTAAATTTTATTTTATTTCTAGGGTTTGGATCAGTAGTCTAGTGTAGTTGTTAATGTATATATTTTTGTTATTTCTTAGTTTTATTTAATAGTGTATTAAAGAGAAGATTTATTGGTAAGTTATTTTAATATACTTTTGCTCCTTATGGAGCCGCCTGATGACCCTGGGGGCGGAGAAGTCCCTGGGGTGGGCTGTATAGTAACGATTTCAAATGATGAGTCTGGAATGGAAACAGATGGATCTATAAAATCTAGCAGTGGTGCTCGAAAACGGAGAGCCACTGTGCATAAACATTGCACCCACTGTAATAAAAAGAGACGTAGTCGGAAACATGAGGGCAAGGAAATCAAACCAAACGAATGTCATTGCATTCCTTTAACCAATACCCAAATTAGCACTGCTCCCTTGTTCAATGAGTCACAATCCAACCCGTCACAACTTAATTCCTCTAATGAATATAAAAAGCCAGAATCAGTAGCACGTTTAAGATACCAGCCAAGTGATGCAGCACCATATGTTGTTCACATACAAAGAGTACAGCAAACTCCAAATGATAGCGTTTCAGTCCACCCAATTGCTTTTGGTCGTTTCTTAAAAAGAAATTCTATACACAATATTGTTAACGGAAGCCTAAAACGAATTGGTCGTAATAGACTGTCTCTGTCTTTTAATAATTACCAGGACGCAAATTCTTTCCTAAATAACTCTGCTTTACAATCAGTCGAGTATAAGGTTTTTATCCCAACATTTACTGTTACCCGTATGGGTGTTGTAAGAGGCATACCTGCTGAGTGGTCAGATGAAGAAGTTACGGAAAATATTAATTTACCTGTTGGATGCGGTCCAATTTTAAAAATAAGAAGAATGAGACGGCGTATCATTACTAGTAATGGCAGTGAGTTTAAGCCTACTGAAACTGTGGTTCTTACATTTGATGGACAAATACTACCTAAGCGAATTTTTATTTGCTACACTTCCCTCCCAGTTGATCTTTACATTTTCCCCACAATACAGTGCTATAATTGTTGCAGATTTGGTCATGTTAAATCATTATGTAGATCAAAACCAAAGTGTTTCAAGTGTGGCCAAGACCATTCGGCTGATCAGTGCTCTATCCTAGAGGAAGATGCATACTGTTGTTTATGTCAAGGTTCCCATTTTGCCACAAGTAAAAGATGTTTAGAATTTGATCGCCAAAAAGCCATCAAAGAATCTATGGCCAAGAGCTGTATTTCGTACGCTGAAGCATCTAAAATTCATGCACCTATCTCAAAAATATCTTATGCTGATGCTTTACTTTCTTCTTCCAATGTAGGTGCTTCTACTATTTCTACTCCTCAAAATGAACAGTCTCATAAACAGTCTTTGAGTAACTCTTACAAAAAGACTTTTTTTCTCAAACCTAAATCTATTCCTAAACTTTCCAAAGGTTATGACAGAAATACACAACAACAATTAATTAAAGATTATGATATGCCCTCACCCAGAAATGGTTGTGGATTAAACTTAAACAACAATAATGATTTGACATTACAATCAATTGCAGACCTAATAAAAATTCTCATTAACACTTTATCACAGTCAAATATTCTTTCACCGTCCAACGCTGCTCCTTTAATTGACACTATTGTTAGCTTACCAAATTATATTAATAATGGACAAGCAAGCCAAAGCTCTACAGTGGAACTGTAGAAGTGCTTCGTCTAAGAAAAGTGATATTATTTATCTTATAAATAAATATAAACCTTTTATCTTCGCTCTACAGGAAACCTGGTTAAAACCAGGTGCTCCTTGTAGGTACTCAGGCTATGCCTGTCTCCGTGAGGATCGTATTGACGGGTATGGCGGAGTTGCCTTACTAGTCAAACATCATCTTCCTTTTTCTCACTTTCCTATTCCTTCTCATAGTAATGATTTTTCAATTATTGCTGCTATTGTTAATAATATCTGCTATGTTTCAATATATATTCCTCATCCTAGTTCTTCTATCTTTGTTGAAATTGACTCTATCATTTCTACTCTTCCTAAGCCTTTTATCTTATTAGGCGACTTTAACAGTCAACATAATTCTTGGGGCAGTTCAACAACCAATACATACGGAGTTTCATTGATGGAACTGTTAAACTCTCATAATCTTTGCTTTCTTAACGATGGTTCTGTGACCCGGCGGACCTCTCCCAATGAAGGCTCAAGTGTCCCTGATTTAAGCATTTGTACTCCTAGTTTAGCTTCCACTATTTCATGGTCTACACTTTCTTCTTCATATGGTAGTGACCACTTCCCTTTACTTCTTAGATTTCCTTTTCACATTAATTTTACATTTAGACATTCACCTAGATTAAAACATCGACTTAATAATGCTGATTGGGATACCTTTAAATCCCGTATAGAACAAAAGATGACTTCCCTTCCTAATATCTCACATGGTTCAGAATCAATTTGTGCTGATGCATTAACTAAATTATTTATAGAAGTAGCAGACAAAACCTTTCCGCTTAAAAACGGTGCTCTGGGCTTTATTCCATCTCCACCTTGGTGGGATCAAGAATGTTCAGATGCAATTAAAAAAAGAAAACAAGTTGAGCTCCAATATTGTGAGAATTGTACATCTGAAAATTTTGATCTGGTTACAGATGCTTTCAAGGCCACTAGTTTATTATTCAAAAGAAAAAAACAGATAGCTGGAAATCTTTTTGTCTCTCCATCTCCCCTAATGTCCGTCCTTCTGTGGTATGGCGTAATATTAGAAGATTCAGGTGTGCATTTACTGAAACTTCTGGTTCTCTCCCCGATTCATTAACAAATCAATTCCTCGACAGACTTGCTCCTACTACAGTTCCTGAAACAATAATTATACCTCTGATGCCATTGAACCCCTCTGGTCTCAATAGTCCATTTTCTATGTATGAAATTAAAGGAATACTATCTTCAGTTATAGACTCTGCTCCTGGTGACGATGGAATCCCATATTCCTTCATCTCTCATTTAGGTGACCAAACTCTTGAATATTTCCTGAAATTGATAAATACACTTATGTTAACCGGTTCTATCCCTCCACGCTGGAAAAACCAGATCATTATACCAATTCTAAAATCTAATAAAAATCCCTCTAACGCAAATTCATATCGTCCTATTGCATTATCCTCGGTCTTGATAAAACTCTGTGAACATTTAGTGAAAACTCGTCTTGAATGGTTTGTAGAAAGCAATAAATTACTTTGTGACAGTCAATTTGGTTTCCGTCGAGGGAAGAGTACGATGGACAGTATTGCCATCTTTATAACTGACATTTTTTTAGCATTTTCAAGGAACGATTCTGTTGTTGCCACATTTTTAGATGTACAATCCGCTTATGACAATGTAGTGTTGTCAGTTCTTCATAAAAAGCTACAGTATTTGAATGTACCTGTAATGTTATCAAATTTTATCATAAATACTTTATACGAAAGACACATCACTCTAATTTCACAAGACTCCACTGTTGTAACCAGAACCTTATGGAGAGGTCTTCCTCAAGGATCAGTCTTAAGTCCCATCTTATATAATATTTATACCCATGATTTGAAAGCTTCTTTGGGTAATCGGATTTGTATTCTCCAGTATGCTGATGACCTTTTAATTTATTCCATTCATCAATCACCGGCCATTGCTTGCTCATTACTGTCTCATTCTCTTAATTTATTAAAAACTTGGCTTGATACTAATGGCCTTGAAATATCCCCCACTAAAAGTGTTGCCATGCTTTTTTCTAGAATGCGTCTCCCTCCTCCAATCAACGTGTATTTTGATAATAATATTATCCCTGTTAAAAACTCTGTGAAGTTCCTTGGTGTGTTTTTAGATTCTAAGCTCTCTGGTGTAAATCATTGTGACTACATTTTTAATAGGTGTGAGCGAAACCTGAACATTCTTAGATGTTTATCCGGTGTATGGTGGGGTGCCCATCCCTTTTGTATGAAACTCATGTACAATGCTTTAATCCGAAGTATTTTAGACTATGGTACCTTTTTATTATCTCCTGGAAATGCAACCCGTTTAAAAAAATTAGATAATATACAGTCTAAGGCATTAAGATTAATCACAGGAGCTATGAAAACTAGTCCAATTAATGCTTTACAAGTAGAATGTGTTGAAGCCCCATTACATCTTAGACGACAATATTTATCTGATAAATTCATATTTCGCTCCCTTCAATATGCCAACCATCCTCTCCGTTCTAAGCTGCAAGAACTATCTCAATTGTTGACATCTTCCAAGTACTGGTCAAATAAATCTTCACCTTGTCTCATCGTCAGCTTCAATAAATTTATCAATATTCAAGCTCCAACTCATACCTTACCAACTTACCCTTTATTTGGAACAAACTTTGAATCTCTAATTATTTCTCCAGACATTAGATTCAATATTGGTATAAACAAGGGCGATTCCCACGCAAGGATTACTTTTAATTATTTCTGTGAACAACACTGCCATGAGTACAATTACATATTTACAGATGCCTCTAAACACGGTTCGTCTGGTAATGTAGGCATAGGAGTATTTCACTTACAAAGTAAAACTACAATAAAAATAATGTTTCCTCCAGAGTCCTCAATCTTCACAGGGGAATGTTACGGTATCTTTAAAGCTTTAAAATTAGTTTTGAGTAAGAAACTTAAGAAATCCATCATATTCACAGATTCACTTAGTGCTCTTCAAGCTCTCCAAAAATATCCATTAAAAAACAAATTAATTTTTCCTATCATTATTGAGATTAGGAGTTTGTTGTATGAATGTGAGCAATTGGGGTTGTCTGTGTCATTTGGTTGGATACCTGGACATTCTGGTATTTTTGGTAACGACATAGCAGACCAACTAGCAAATGAAGCTGTTAAGGATGGCGATTCTAACTCGTATAAAAATTATTATCATGATTTGGCCTCACTTCCTGCTTCTTTTCTTCGACAATCTTGGACTGACCTTTGGATTCAGAGCAGTTTAATTAAGGGTAAATATTTTTCATGTATACAGCCCACAATACCACTAAAGCCATGGTTTTTTAAAATGAAATTTAATAAAAAGGAAACATCGTCTCTCATTCGTATGAGATTGGGCCATGTGTACCCCCAGCCCACCTTTCCAGATTTCATATTATTGATAGTGAAATGTGTGAGTGTGGGCTGAATATTGGTGATTTAAACCATATCATTCTGTCCTGTCCTCGGTATAACCACTCCATGTTATTCGATCATTCTCATCCTTCTTCTAGTATCCCGTTACCTACATCTGTTCCTGTTCTGCTTTCATCTTTAAATAATAATATATATAAAAAGTTATGTTTATTTCTTACTCTAAATAATATAAAATTATAAATATGTACATACATATGTATACAAATCGTATTTTGTATGATATATATTTTATTAATTACTGTTCCTTTCCATAATGTAGTACTTTGTATTAGAGATAGTTTTATATCCTGCTGATCCTATCCTTTATCGATGTAATGTTCATTCGGTGTAAAATTATTTTTCTTTACTATTCCGTTTTCCTTACCTTTGTCTGTGGCAATACGCTCTGCGTGAGGCTATTTAAAAAAAAAAAAAAAAAAAAAAAAAAAACTTAAGTCTTCTGTCTGTTGGTGAGGTTATGTTTGAAAAGTAAAACGTTTGTATATACATATTACATACATTAAATAAAGTTTTATGTTACACAAAAAAAGACCATGGCAATTCAAAAGAAACCTATAAAATTGAAACACATTAAAGCGGACATCCTTAAAGAAGTTAATTTTTTAAAAAACATTTTTACCTATTATTCACCTCCTAATCAAAGTAAAGGTAAGAAATATATATAAATTAAAATCATATGATGTTGCTTTTAATTTGTTAGTCATTCATAATAAAGCACCACTACGTCCCAAATGTGTTTCGGACGAGACAGAACAAATATTTAGTACATGCTGTCATTTTCATTCCCTGAAACCCAACATGGAATATCCATTATTGCTGTTGCTGCAGTATTATTAGAGGTAATTGCAGTTGTTGCGAAGCTGAATAAAACAAAAGTATCACATTATTTCAGATAATGATACGTACATGGACTTTGAAATGACAAAAGGTGAACAAGAAGATATTAAAAAGGAGGCTGAGAAACCTAAAAGAGCACATAGTATTGCTGAGCTAGAAGAGAAATTAGAAAAAGTAAAATCACAACATAAATTAAATTTAAAGAGTAAACTGATGAAGAAAAGTCTTACAAGTAAACTAAATAAAAAAATTAAGAAGAAAGAGAGGGTTAAGTTAAATAAAAATAAAGTTAAGATAGTAATTAAAGATAAAAAGAATGGTGCTGCACTAAAAGAAAATAATGTGACACAAGTTAAGCCAGTATTTAACACTGATGGAAAACTTGTATTTTCAAAGTTTGATTTTGCTAATCTTGGAACTAAAGGTAGGTAGCTTGTTTTGTATTTTAATAATATATACTACTTCTACTTATAGATGATAGTGTGATTAAAATACATGCAAATAGAAAATGGATATTAATACACTGACAATAATAACTTAGCTTTTGTATTTAAGTGTGATAGTAATATAACTTTTCAGAAAAAGTTCCCAAAGGACACAAGGATCCAAAAAAAATTTTAGATGACCTCAAGCACCAAGAGCAAAAAGTTCAAGAGCTTTCACAAAAAGATAGTGACAAAGCCAAGGATTTAAAAGAAAAAATGGCTTGGAAAAATATACTTCAAAAAGCTGAAGGACAAAAAGTAAAAGATGATCCTATTTTACTGAAAAAGTCTATAAAGAAACAAGTAAGTAAAGATATTATTTTCTTATAGCATATAAAAAGTGTAAATTGTTGTATTAAGTAATCACAATTGCATTGCCATAGCTTTTGTGTGACCTAAAGTTCTACTTTATTATAGACAGACTTTCTCAGTCCAACTGTCTACAATATTCAATAATTAAATTTGATTCAATGAATTCAATTGTCCATGTTTACAAATTTAGAAAATATGTTCTTAAATTAATACTCCAGAATATACTTGCCTCAGATTGCATCTGTATCTCAGATGATTTTTCTGGTACAGATAAGTGTATGATAAGCCTTCTGTGCATTGCTGACATACATTGATTTTTAGGTGTTATGTTAGTTTCCTTATATATATAGATAGCAATATCTAGCTTTACTGTACAAGTAAGTATTGATTGTGATTATAAAACGAGAACTACATTAGTGTACGTACATACAGAGTTTTAAATGCATCCGCCCGGAGTTGTGAGTCACACACATTAACCACTTAGCCAAGACTGGTTCCTTTAAAAATATTAACTTGTTTCTAATCAGACTTTTATAATTTTTTCAGGAACAAAAAAAGAAAGCTAGCAAAAAGCAATGGGAGGATAGAATTCAAAGTGTTGTGGGGAAAAAGGAAGACAGGCAGAAAAAGAGAAAAGAAAATATTATGAAAAAGAAAAAGGAAAAGAAGGCTAAAATAATAAAAACAAAGGAAAAGAGAGGACGTGTTGTAATATAGTGCAATTTTAAGCATTGTTTTTAAAGAAATTGATAATAAATTTTTACCTTCAACTTTATTTGTTTAAATCATCATCGTTTGTGAAGAGTGAAATAACAGCATAAGGTAATTAGGTTACTAACAATTTTAAACTATACTCTCATTAGATTAATTAATTTAATGAATAAACAATTTAGGTACCTAGTATGATATGTACTTGTATATATTAAGAGTAAAAAGTATAATAATTATTTTATTGTCTTTGCTGTTAAAGATTTTTTTAATTGTTTGAGGTATAATATATTAATTACAATTAGCAATCTCTTTTTGAAATGCCTGGATAAATAGCCCATGCTATAGTATAAGTTGACAGTCAAATCTGAAGTTTATAAAGGCAAAACAAAAACTATAAGGATAGAACATTTTTTATTATTGTTATGTATTTAAATGTAATTTACAGTTTGTGTATTCAAATGACATCTCTAAATAAAGCTAATTTCTTAAGGTAACAGTAGCAGTTTGTTGTTACGATTTGCTCCCTCAGTATAACCATGATTAATTAAAAAATAGAGGTACTGAGAAGGCTGGAAGCAAAACTGAACATCGGTGGAATAGTAGAATTATTATAAGGGAAAAATTGCACTGTGTTAAACTAGTTTAATTACACTGGGTACATAAATAATACCTATATTTAGGAAACCAATATTCTTTATTATGTAAAATTTTAATATGAATTTTATTTATATACTTTAAAGATAATTTATATAAAATTCGTCACTGAAATATTGATAACAAAAAGAAATATTCTCGACAGAATAATATATATTATTAATAAAGAGCTTCAGTACCCAGTAGTAAATATACACATATCTTAGATACAACTAGTTAAAACTAAAGTAAATATAATATGAACACATATTTTCCTAAAACCTATGTAGCTAAAAACAAATCTAAATGTACCATTCATAAAATTTGTAAAGTTTATACAAACTTATATAATTATTCAAAATATAAATGAAAAATTAGGCTTGGTCTATTTTGTAAAGTGAATGTTTTCACATGTACTATTTTGCAGTGATGGTACCTTAATACCTGTTCAAGTCTTAACATATTCCCAATAGCAGGACTGACTTAAAATTGTATATTTAAAATCCGCCTTAATAAATAGGTATTTTCAAAGTAAATCCAACCCTGCTAATACAAATAATTTTGAACAAGATAAAGTAAAACCACCTTAATTATCATTACCCATTCTTCTGCAGAAACACCTCAAATATTCATTCATATTTGTACTATTGTACCTATTTAATGCATTATATATTCTAAACTTAACTATAATTAGTCCACTGAAATAAAGGAAAATTTAGATATTTAATATCACTTAATTGGTTTCTGGGGGTCCCCTAGGAAGATTCAGGCATGTTTTAACTTAAACTTCTTTACATAGAAAACTCATTCTTAATGTATGCATGTTAATTTTAAGCTATAACCAACCAATATTGTTAAAATAATTATTTAAATGAATACTTTTAATACAATTCAAACAGAACCTCAGATCCATTATGTTAAATTAAGTATATTTTATAAATATTATTTAACACATATATTCCCAGAAACTGTGATAGATTTAGGTTCATGATATTTTGTGTAAAAGTTTTTTTTTAATATACAAAGCTTTACAATAAATATTAATAGATTGAAAATTAATTTAGTATCTACCAAAGTAAATATATAACTTATCTAACTGTACTCCCAATATAATATAAACTTAAATTACTTACAATAATAAGTGAACAAGCATGTGTTTAAAACAATAATTAAAATAGCAACAAATAAACGAGCCTCAACATTGAAGTCTTGTTTGTGTCTTATCATATAACAGTTTATAAAAGTAAAATAATTTTAATAACATAAAGTATATAAATAAAGATTAAATTGTTATACAAAATTAATAGCAAGATTCTTTTCAATTATAGAAATTAGGTTTGACCAAGTAGATTTATCTACACAAATTTATTTTGAAATATTGCCATCAATTACTGATTAATAAACATATATGTTTTGCATTGTCAATAAAGGTGTGATTAAATCCAACAAAAATATTTAACATCTCATACAATGGCTAAGCCGCATTTTTATTGCACCTTCAACAAATACTATTAAACATTTGTAATGGAAAAACATCTTATTAATTGAGGACATGTATTTTTCAGATGATTTAGACAACCACAATCAAGCAGTACAAAGTGTCTGCTGGGACTTTTATCTAAATTATTAGATAAGGTACTATATTAACATATTCTAGTTTATAAAAAAAATATAGCTCTTACATTAAAAATAGAAAAATAAAAATGTTTAATGTAATACTGCACACTAAATAGTAGTCTAAATCAGTCAAGGCTTTAACAGTATTCAAATAATAATTAAATTACAGAATGTAAATATTGTTTCTGATTAAATAGTACTAAAGCTGAATTTATGGAATAAAGGTGCACATCTATATTGTGGTGTGGCCTAATGAAAACAATACAGACATACATAAGTTTCAATATCAATATTATTTTACTTACTCACTATCTACAATCTATATTAAAATGGTAATAATAAAGCAAGTTGTGAGGCGGGATATTTGCATCAGTCTTGTGTAATTTTTGATTGTGAAAAATTATAACCATTCATTTATCTATTTGGTAATTTGTATAGATCAAGTTTTATGTAAGAAGCTACATATGCTGTGAATGAAGTGTTATAAATGTTGTCAGTTCATGTCTGATTTAAGAGAAGATAGTGTTGCATTTAACACTCTATTAGCTGCATAGCTTGGTATATTCAAATAGGCAGGTTTATCATGTTCACATAGCCCAGGCTGGGTACAGCAAGGATTCACAGTTGCTCCACTACTTGTTGATGCTGTAACACTTACCTCTGATGTGTTTGTAAGACAAACCAACTGGTGATTATTAAACTGCTCCAGTGATCTGAGTTGTTCACCACAGTTTTCACATTTCAGTTCCCTTGCATGTACTTTTTTGTGGCTATTCAATGATCTTGAATTATCAAATACTTTAGTACACATATCGCAATATTTCAATACTTTTTCACCTGTACAGACTACCTTGTGATTGTTTAATCTGTCTAGTGACATATATCGCTTATTATTACACAGGTCACATTTAAATTGCTTTTGTGGCACTCTCCCTGTATGAACCTGCATATGTTTTCGTAAGTTGCTTTTATCTTTAATATATTTAGAGCAGACAGAACACTTGTTCACATCTTTTCGAGAATGGCTTGAATCTAAATGTCTGCGTAGATGCGACTTTTTGTGAAATGGCTCTAAACAAATTTGACACCGGAATGGTTTTTGAGCTGGGTGTACACCTGTTAAGTGTGTATTGAATTCTAGAATGGTAGGATAACTTTTTCTGCAATGTGGGCAGTGAAACAGCTTACGACAAACTGCCGTACTTGAATCACAAAAAGGATCTGAACAGTCATCACAAAAAGAATCAAGACCAGCTGGAGGTGTTGCTGACTGAAATTGTTCAAAATCTGATTGTAGTGGATCTCGATCTGGTGTACCAGCACCGCTAGGTTCTTTCTTAACTTTAGTTTGATCACTACCTTCAGAAAAGTCATCCTGAGATGGAGCGGTTTTTGAAGTGCTTGCCAGCATCCACCATGGATTATAAGGCCAGGCACCTAGGCTTGATTGTGCTGATTGACCCTTTATATCACTAGATTTGGTTTGTGTTTCCGCATTTGAATAACCGGGAAAACTGGGCAGTTCTTGGTGTTTTGGTCTCGACGCTTCAAATATATTATGCTGCGAAAGGATGTTTTCATAATCACTAGAATCCAGCTTCCTTTCGTTTCGATCATTTAAATCTCTTTTGGACATGTTTTGGTCACTAAAATTAGAAAATACAATATAAAGTGAAATAATAACATAAGTAAAAACTTTGACTAACAGAGGTAAACAAACAACGCAAATATGCGGAAGTACATTGTTCATGTTTGAGCTTGCTAAAAGTTAATACACATAATAAATACGTTTGAATTGACTAAAATATTACAAAGTATACATTACGGAAAGACTTATTTACACGTACATTTAACAAAAATATTTTCGTATTGAAAAGTTTCAGTTTCTAACAATCGACCATTTTGTTTTAATTGGAACATCACAGAACATCACATGATTACTTAATAGAGTAAAAATATAAATTGATTATAATAATATGCTTGAAACTGAGTACCTAAATAGTAGGAGATAGTTTGGCTATTTAGCTCTAATGTCTAAACGTTTTATGACTTATATTGTGTATTTTACATCGAACATCGATATTGACATCAATGTCATAATCGAAAGCCCTACATTCAATATTTATTTAAAGGCAAACATCGATGATATTTTCATTACGTATTCACAAAGAAATAAAATACAGTGAAATGGTTTGAAATTTATTCAACAGAACAAATTAAATTACATATTCCATTATTTTATTATCAACTGACTGAAGGAAAAGTATTTTTGATATATAAGAATCTTTTAATCTATTTCTTTGTTATCAACAGAGTAGAGAGGAAGTGTGAGAATAAAGGGACGACCGGTGTGCAGTGATGAATACGCATTCAAAATTTAAATAAACTTTATTTGTCGATGCATACATGCGATGATTCATAGAAGACTTAATTTGTTTCGTAAGTTGCGTGAGTCAACAATCAAAATCGATAATCGATTATTTTTATAATTGAAAATCAATCATAGTCGATTTTTTTATCTGCCACCATTACCACCACATTATGTCTGGTCTTTTATAACCCGGGCCTCGAACTATTAGGGATATTCGATATACAACGATGTTTACAATGCGATACATAGAATCCGATTCTTTCAAGATGTATTGATATACTCGATGCATTGATGTTTTTTTGTAAAACATCGAAAGGATGATAAAACCAGTTAATTTTACAAAAACTCAAGTTTGAATGGAACACTATAATTTAAAAGTTAAATAAATTTATTCAGCACGCAAGACTACATTACAATTAAAAAGACAACAAAAATACTGCAATGTGCATACACTCAGCATTTATCAAATTTCACCTAAAATCTATCAAAACGAGATTAATTTAATTTCGATTTTGATTATTCCTAAACGTTAATTTGTGTTTATAATTTCTATTGTTTATTTTTAATTAAAAAAAAACCATGAAAAATAAAATATTTAGGGTGTTTATTTTGAAATTAATTCAAAAATTAGGAAAAAATCGAGTATTAAAAAACAATCGATTATTTATTAATCGATTTTTCATGCTAAAAAAATAATCGATTAATAAAAAATCGATTTTTTAATGCAGAATGTCACATCCCTACTTTCAACATCGATGATCATCGAATCGATGTTCGCACTTCGAACATCATTTCAAATTATTATCTTGGTTTGTGAGAACTGATAAATGAGAATATAAAAACACCGCTTTAATAGCACCGCCTGAATAGTTAAATCTTAGATATCTTTTCAAAGTTTAGTTTAAATTATAGACGTAAGACTGGTAGTGTTAATCCTAACAAAAAATCGTGTAAAATTGAAATTTAGTTATAGAGGTTAGCACTTAGCTAAATGCCTAGTTAACTTGGCGGTCTTACTTAATTATAATAGTAAAATCTTATTTCAAAATTAACGTTTTTATTTTATATTTTAAGATTTCACAATATGGAATGGCTAAGTTCCAGAGTTTTAAAGGCATTTTGGAGACCTTCTGTAAATATTGTCAGGTAACTTTCTCCACTGCAGTTAAAGCAATAGTAACAATATCACGAGTTGTGATTATAATTTAATTATTTGTTTGTTAAAGGACACGTTATCATGCTGAGAAACAGCAGCTAGTCAGAAGATATGGGTATGAAGAAAAGATATGGTGTGGTGGATTATTACCCAGATCTAATGGACGTTGTTTACCAATGCCAGAGTACAGGTACATATACTAAGAAAATAATAAACAATAACAATTCTTAACTAATCTTTAATTTAGGATTTGAGTGTTTCAATGAGGAATACTCACAGAAAAATTTTCTTAAATTGATAGATTTGGGATTAGTTAAAAGAAATATAACAAAGTTCTGGAACAGAACCCCTTTTTCAAAACCAGTGTTTTATATGTAGGTGATTTCCAGATTCAGCCCATGCATCTTTTGAATGGTGTCTTACCGTTAGAAACTTTAGTAGGACAACAATTTGCCATTGCTGTAGCTTCAGCTATAGTATTCAGCTGTAGTTTGTTTATATTTTATTTGGGCATTTGCCCCAATTCTAAGCTTTTTTTACAAGCATCTAGTTTGTAGGGTTCTATTTTCTTTCATATTAAATTATGCAACTTTCAGAATGTTATTGTTAATTTTATATCATTTCAATTACTATTTTAATTTTTGCCTAATTTTAGTCTAGTATAAATCACTATTATTGCTCTTTAAAATTTAAAATTAATTTCAGACCTGCAAACCCCTGGACACAGAAAAAAGCATTGTATGGACAGAATGATTACATAGATATTTTGGGAAATAAAGGTTTACATCCTGTTAAAACATTGTATACAATTCCTACATGGATAAAAGGTGTCAGTGGGAATGAATACCAGGTGAGTGAGTGTTGGTGTGACACAAAAACTTGGAAAAATCTTTGTTCAGACCAAAAACATTGTGTTTCACAAATTCTTTGTAATTTTAGGTTATGCTACGTAAGAAAAAAATGCTTGCAACAACTTCTTATCCTAAAGTGAGGCCTACCAAATGGAAGGATTTAGAAAAACGTTTAAAATACCTATACAGAAGACTTAACCAAAAAACAAAAACTGGAATGTCTAGAGATTAGTCCTTTCAATGTTATTGTTTAGACTTTAGCACTAATTCCTAATAAATCTATAGATATTAGAAGAATTAGTATCTTTTACTTATCCCGTTAGTTGAAGTTGTACTAGTTTAAATCTAGTTTTAGTGTTTGTCTGCTTGATGCCATTAGAAGTAGAATTGAAGTTTGAAACCCAACATTCAATAATTAAAATTTTATTAAAATGACTAGATAATTACAAAGGGGAAGTATTCAATAATTTCTTTTAAATAACAAGCAATAATTGTCTTAAAAACTACTTAACATATTTCGTGGCTTTTACAAATGAATGAATGGTGTTTGATTTAAAAAATAGAAGTGTAAGTAGAAAATGTCATTTTAGGGGCTAGGTTTACACTTGTTTACGTGTGGCACCACGTTATTCAGTCTTTAGTTATTAAATTTTCAAAAGAAAGCCTGTACAGGTATTCCCCAATCGTTTTTAATCATATCTGATGCTTTTTCCGCAATCATGACAACTGGAGCATGAGTGTGTGAAGCAGGGATTCGGGGCATAATGGAAGCATCAGCTACTCTTAAGTTCTTGATTCCATTGACTAATAACCGTGGTGAAACGACAGCTGTGGTGTCACCTTTTGGTCCCATTTTACAAGTGCCTACCTGGAAAAAGGTATTTTAAATTTTCTTATTATAAATTAATGTATTTGGACTAACAATGATATCTTACGAGTACTCAAATAAAAATAATTCTGTGGAACTCTTAGGGAGTGACCGTTATAGTTCACTGGTTTTGAGTGTTGCCAAAATAGCCAAGTGCCAACATGTTAATCTACCTGTTTGTTTAAAGAACCAAGGATTTTGCTTTTTCTTATATGAGTACATGCAATTGTTTATGGTGAAAATCGCCGTTTAACGATGCTGGTGCCGTACTTACTTGATGGTCCAAAGTGATAGAGGTTTGCATGATTGCACACTCCCAGTATTCATCTGAATCAAAACGTAACTGTTCACAACCAGGAAATGGAATATTATTTAAACGCGTCCCATATTTCTGGAAAGACCGCGTGCTAATCACTTTTTGAGCCTGAAATTACAAAAGTGATTTAATGATAATTTAAAAGACGTTAAATTCCAACCATCTTAGACACGAACTATATTAGGAAATGTAAGACAATATTTCTGGGTCAAGTTTTTTTGTCCAAATAATTAATACCGGTTTAAAAAATCGGTAGAATACCAATCCTAGGTTGAGCGAAATTGAAATACTTTTTTCTAATTGCTCAGGCATTTTTCCCCCGTAAACAGTTATTTTTTTTGAATTTGGAAATCTTAGCGCGTGTTGTAAGTATTTGCCAGTATTCAGGGTTCACGGTAAAGACGCTCTCACTATTCTATATTTGATATAACCTGAAGAGGTTTGGACCGATTGTATTTTGATTTTTAATTCGATTTATGGTTGTACTCACTACAAAATTCCGTTTATTTCAAGTATCATGTTTTATACTTACTAGGCGAATGCCTTCTTTTAAAACCTTTATATCATCAGGGTGGTCAAAATAATTAGGGTGAATTTTTGGGTTATCGTCAAATTTCGCGCTTCTAAGTAACAATCTTCCATAACTTTGTGGCCGTATCAACACCGGATTGAGAGAGAAAGATCTTTGTCTTTCTTGAAGTGGTAAATTTCCATAGACCTTCCAGTAAAAGTCGTCAGTAACTCCTGAAAATAATTATTAAATAAAGATACTAGAAACACATAGTCACATAGATTTTTGTAAAACGAATAATGTCGAATTATGGTTTTGATTATTTATAGTGGACCCCAGTTGTAGACTGTTGTAGACTGTTGTAGACGGAAAGAGAATGAATCACAGTTTTTCTTATGTTGACAACACTGTTACTGTTACGTCATTATAGTTGGAACGTAATCATCTTGATAATTAATGTAAAAAAATTAAAAGTATATAATTGTTCTGAATAAATAAAATGACGCGTGAATAAATGCATTAATATTTAAATTTAGGTGTGCGACCGGTTCCTGGTAAAATAATATTTGTTTAGTTTTCTCCTAGAAAACTAATTACCCATTTGCTGTAAAAAACCGGGAGACGTCATATTAATGAATGGCTTCAAATATCGAGATTTTATAAATAATTTAAAGTACCCAATAAAGATCGAATGATTCCAAGAAAGTCGCCTGCGAGTGAGCCTGCGCCCATGACCAATTCGAGATCGGGTCGTCCTTCACTAAGGTCATTTGCATATTGAGTACGAGTGAATGCTAGACCAGCAGCACCGCCAGGTATGGTCAAGGGACCTTGACCAGCTAAATATTCTGCAGCCGATACAGGTGAGGCCGCTAACATCTGTATAATAGTTCCGTCTTTATTAATAATTAAAAGAACTGCTTTGCAGAGGCATTTGTTTTTGACAAACTGACCATTCTTTAGGATTTAATTTGAATAATTATCTTCATCAATATGGCCGTTTTAACATTGGAAGAAGTTTAAGTCGATATACTTACATCATTTACGCATAGACCAGTTTCATTAACAATAAAGGCGTTGCCTGAAAAAGTGACATGGTCTTGCAGGTTATAACCAACTGGAGAATCAAATAAAGTGTCTATTCCCACTTCACGAAGGTGGTCTGTTGGGCCTACTCCTGACAACATAAGAAGTTGAGCGGATCCTATAGTACCTGCTGCAAGAACTATCTCTTTCCTGGCGTATACACGACGTCTGAAAGTTATAGTGAATATTATTAAATGATAACTACTTAATTTATTATTGTCGTCAAAATAGGGGCGTGGCAATCGGAAAATCGAATTTAACATACATACAAAGAAAGAATTGAAACCTGTGTACTAAAAAAATCCAGGCTGATTTATTAATAGTGATAATTTTGTGAAATGGCGTTTATAGTAAATTCAGCGATATTCAACTTTATTTCTATTTATAAATTTATCCTTTCCCTATGCCTCCGAAGTATACGTTGAAGCTACGTAGTATTATTTATTCACATAGCTGGATGTAGACGACTGCTTACTAAAACCGCAGTATCCGAGCTGTGTTTCCAAAGCCTAAGCTATTATTAAGTCTAAAGCGTATATATCCACGGTCTTAATTTTTATCATTGACTAAGTTTAAGCATTTTAACTATTTACAGTAAATTAAATGTATGTATATATTTGATTACTTAATGCAGCTACGCGTTAATATTTAATACTAATTGTTAATTACATGGATAAACAGATATATAATACTATTTAAACAATTACATCATATCCACTCTTATTCAATATATTGTAAAGATTACCAAACATATTGTAATTTCTTTACTGGAAACGGCACTTAAATACAGTAGTTTTGCATTATTATAATCTAAATAACCTTTTGTTATGCTTCATAAATTCCACTCCTACCGCTGTTTTTGTATCTGGATCAATGAGTAATCTTTTCACAGTAGAGAATTTAGACACCTTTAGATTTCTTCTAAAACGTACGGGTTCTAGAAAAGCTTTCGATGAACTACATCGTCGACCGTTTCGAATAGTTGCTTGTGGCTTAGAAAATCCTATCACTTTTTCTCCATTTGGATCATTCCACTCATAGCCAAGCTGTAGTCCTGCGTTTCTAAACGCTTGTTCAAGAGGTGATGAAAAAGTGGCATGATCTATATCTAAATAGCCACCAATCCCGTGAAAGCTTGAGTTTTGAAGTTCAGGAATTTTAACATTTTCTGATTTTTTGAAATAAGGCAGTATCTCATCGTAACTCCAGCCCTCATTTCCCATTTTAGCCCAGTCATTGTAATCTTCAGGATGCCCTCTTTGATAAATGAGGAAATTCAACACACTGCTCCCGCCTAGAACTTTACCGCGAGGCATATAACAAACGTTTCCTCTTAAACTTTTACAAGCTTTTTTCTCGGGTTCAGAACTATAATCCCAATTCATTGGAGTTATAGATAGAAACGGTGCAAAGATTGGTATGTCCGAGAAAAAATTCTCATTGCCACCAGATTCTAAGAGTAAAACATCCCATTTCGATATTTCTGATAATCTATTTGCTAAAACACAGCCAGCAGAGCCTGCCCCGATAATTATAAAATCGAATTCTTGTTTATCTTTGGGAAAGTAATCAGGTACGAATCCTTCGTCAGCATTTTTAGGTATTGGACGAAATATATCAGTCCAAAAATCAAATATATTCTGAGATTGTGCCAAGCATAAACTGCTTGTTATTATTGCTATGATAAAGCATCGCATGTTTGATTATCAGCTTGGCCTTCTTAAATTCTGAAACAGTAATTCGCATTGATTTTTATTTCATATCATTCATAATATCGTCACTGTAGAATGATAACCTCGTATGTCAAAAAACCATTTATATTTTATTCTTAGACTCTTATGTCATTTAACTGATATAATCTAATGAAGTAAGGATTTCATTCAAAACTATGAACTAAAGCACAGAATAATATTTTAAGGAACATTGACGAAATGAAACATTTTTTTCGTTTCCTGTAATGTTTGGTTCTCTGGACATACGAGGTTATCATTCTACAGCGACGATATGATATTTAATGAACGCAAAAGAAAATGAAATCATCGTTATAACAAGAGGTGGCTGCAGATTACGTATAAATTGTTAAATAATTTGTGATTGAACACTTTGCATGACCTGGAAAAACGTTATAAATGTCATTACAGACTTGCTGAGTGTTTCGGCCTAACCATAGAAAAGTCGCATCTCACGATGACTCTACCTTAACGATGATTCATCCTATTAGCACAAGTCTGCTAATATAAAATCTCTATGTTACTTAGACTTCGGAATCGTTAATGCAACAGAGAACTATAAATAGAACGTACGTTTTGAGTATGGTATTACTTTGGAGTATCTATTTGCTTGCTTTCATATACAGCAAGTGTGTACTCAGACAAACAACAGAAATTACAACTTAAAGTTTAAAAACAATGCCTTTAATAATACGACGGTTCTAGGTACATATTAGGTTCGATTACTAAAATACTTTTTTCGAGTTAGGACTGAAGACTAATCTACGTGTCTGCAAAGAAATTATTCGTAAATCCGATACAGAGATGTGTCTGGTCCACAATCCATTTAGAAGTTCCAAGACTTCAGTTTTATTTTGTCCCTGTCAAATGTTGCATTTCGTATTCAATACAGTTTATTTTATTTTGTGTACAGGATTATAAGAACTAGCGACTCGCCCCGTGTTCGCCTCGTGACCCTTAGGGTCCTTGAAAATATCTTATATACTAAACCTTCTATTTTTTTTTCGGTTATTCTAGATATTGGTGGAAACCGCAAGAAATTCCGTGCACTAGGTTTTTAGTACATCGCGAACAGTTAGACAGATAGACAGATAAAAGTTTGACATACTTGACACATACATGACTTTAAAGTGAAACTTCTTTAGGCGCATGAGGGTAAAAATTTTACGGAACGTCACGAAGATGTGCAGCGTTTTTGTCGAAGAAAAGGGAGAGTGCGATTGAGACCGATTGAGAGGGAGTGAGAAGGAAAATTAACTACTAGAAATTATATTTTTAAAATTAAAATTTCGTAAAGAGAATTTATGAAATAGTAGTATTTTATATTTTATGCAAAATAATTTATTGAAATCTCAAATGACGAATTTTAAATAACAATGCCACGTGTTTTTATCGAAGAAATAAATAAAATATATTTTTTTAATTCATTTGTATTAATTTTCGACACTTCATATTTTAATGTCAATTAAATTCATTCAATTCTTAACATATCTTCCTTTTTCCCTCCCACTAAGTCCCAGAAATCTAAAGTTTTAGATTTGTATAAATATGAACAAGAGCTAAAAATTAGTTTGCTAAAGAAGTTTCACTTCTGACTTGTGTACTTTGTACGCACGCACTTTTTTTTGAGTATCTCTACAACTTTTTCTCTACAACTCAATCACAATCTCTCATCGTTACAACAGCGTTCGTAAGAAACGTTTTCGTTCGACCGTTTTTTCTCCGACGTACTTAGAAAATCCGACTACCACGAAAATGTATTTTCATTTGTCGGATATAAACAATAAAACGTGGCTCTGTATTGTTTAACGAGTTTTCGAAATTTGTTCAGGAGATCCAGATTTTTACCCTGTACAACCTCACAAACTTTAGTATAATTAACTCAAAACTATTATTAGTATTTTTTTTATTTGGACCACAAAATTAGGACAAACGCATGATACAAACAAAAAAATTAACGTATAATCAAACATATGAATAGCAGTGCCAGCAAAATAGTAGGTACAAAAAGCAATGATAATACAAACAACAATAAAAAAAAAAACTATAAAAAAATTAAACTATTTAAATCAAGAATTGAATTATCTGGTACTGTGTCCTAATTCTAGTAATGATGTAACATATCATATTTGTTTTAGTTTAATAATAATAAACAAAACAAAACCATTGCTATAAAAAATAATAAAAGTAGCATCCTATAGAGGTCACGTTATGTAATTTATTTCGAAAATTGCATTATGAAGGTTACTGTAAGGCCATAAAATATTTAGATGATCACAGATAATTCATGGCGGAATAAATTATATCAGATTATACTCAATTGAATTTTTACATTTTATATGACAAAATTTAACAATTTGTTTCATATAAAATCATTTCGCGTTCTTAAATAAAGGCTCTTGACGGTGCCTTTTAGTTATAATAATATACATTTTACTTTACCTTGTTTTATATTAAATATTTTTTACTTACTAAACTTCCTAGATTACAAAAAGTTTATAATGTGTAATAATAATACTAGTTAATTGATTTCCCCATTTTTATAAATAATTTAAGAATACTATGCAAATGTTTATTGTAAGGGAGAAAGCCGCAAAGACACACGGTCTTTGTGTAAAAATATACGTATATTAGGAAGAATACTTACGGTATGTAATAAAAACGTAAGGTTTAACTAGTTTCACAGATCGACACAATATAAAATACATGGTCTATTTAGTTCGTTGCGTAAAAAAACGATATCTTTATTTTGTTAGGAAACAGTTGTACCCTGGGAACCTTGTACCTTGAACCGTATCTTATAACAGGTCTTGCAAAACGGTTACCATTTGTGATTACGAAATTAATTCAAAATTAATTCAAGGTAAGGAGAAAACAATCTCATATACATACAAGATCCTAAAATTCACTCTAAACTAAATTTTAATATATTTATTATATAATAGAGTTAAAACCTTGCAATAGTTATAATGCTCTATATACTTTTTTAAATGAATGCAATGGAAGTAGCTAGAAAAATCTAAATGGATAATTCTTAAGGAGGCTTATACCCAAAAGGGATACTAGAAGACATTAATTTTTTTTAATTGTTTTTTTTTCTAATTTTGTGGCTTAAATATTTTTACACGCAATAGTATCAGGTTAGTTTTAAGATGCTTTTTATTTTTCTCCCGCCTATTCAGAAGCTATATTTTTCTTTATCCAAAAATTCTTCGAATTGAATTCATTCATACATTTAACATTTACGTTCTTTTTTTTGATGTTTTGTATGACTTTACAGAATCAAAACAACCACAATTCATTTTCAAGGTTTAATAAAAATGCCAGTCACTATCAACCTTATTGGAATCTTAATAATTAGTGAAACTTTTCAACAAAATGGCTCAAACAAATACCAATTAATTCTCGATAGGGCTTTTTGATTTAGTTTGATAATTATTACTGTCTGACTGGTCATTGATTTCTACTCAACGTAGAACCTAAAACGCAGCGTTTTATATAGAAGTAGACGGTGAACCTATCCGTTACCTGGAAGAAAGGAATAAACAAACATTACCTGTCCACATCGTATCCCTAACTTTAATAATACCTACTAACTGACGTTTGACTGATCTTAAATTAAATTATAATGATTAATGTGCACTTTTTATTCATATTATTATTAATTTTTTAATGTAATATTCTTTATTAGATTAGTTTGTTTTTGTTCCTTTTCAGTTTCTTTTTCTTAACATATGTAATTTAATAAAAAATTTTTCTTTTCTCACAGTGGTTGCCTGGAAGAGATCGCTCGAAAGCGATAAGGCCGCCAGTTGCCTTTCCTTTATATGTAATTATGTTAAATTTTTATATTATAAAGCACCAAAGTGTAAATAAAGTAAATAAAAGTATGTTTCAGCGTTCCAAATACAAATAATTGTATTGTTTACGCCAACGAAGACACTGTTAACAGCCAGGTATATACTCGTATGTAGAGTTAATCCACATTTAAGAGACGAGTTCACTTGTATGTACTTTTAGATCTAATAATACATTATATGAATGGAATTCACGTAGTTTACGACGTTACTTGCGTAATAAATAGGATAGGACAAGTGTTTGAGTAATTGAGATGCAAGAGCATGAACGTTGAAGATGACCCATACTAGGTGAGTAGGTATGTCAAGTGTATTGGGACATTGTTTTATTCAATTCTAGATAAGAAAAATAAAGCTTTATAATTTAAACCTTATTCTATTGTTGGATTATTTTTGACGGAAGGACATACCCGTGTTGTGGATCACCAGACTCTGCCGAGGTCCAAGAAAAGAACATAAACTTACTTTACAAATATAAAATAATTTTTGATTAACTGTATATCCAATTGTCTAATGGGACTCGTAATCGGCTATAAAGAGCTGGTGCGATAGACGTAGGTACTAAATATAGTACTTATTAAGGAGCAAAACCGAATGTACCTAATGCTAACGTGGTTATGAAGAAGTTAATAAAAATCTAATAAACAAAGACAAAATCATATAACAATATTTATAAATCTTATAATTTGCAAACAATATAGGTATACAATACAAATGAATGATAGCACCCTTCAACAATAGGTAGTGTTTTTAATATTTTTTTTAAATGCGTATGGCACTGACATAATATGTAATCGAATAACAAAATAATATTTTGTATTCGATTACATAATAATAAATAATGTAAATTTAGCAACCGACTGCATTTTAGGTACAATTGCAATTTGTAATTTATTGTTTTTAAAACGCAATAAATTATACACATATAGCCATATTGCAATATGTCTTTGTGATGCTAAAATGGGCTTTAGAATACTAAAGTGTAAATTATAATAATACATATTATTTTAATCATACAAAACCGACAGATCTATTAATGAAGCTTTACTCTGCCAAACGTAATCATGGTAATTATTTTTACAGTATTGTAGTATTCGGATTTTTATTTCAATATTTGTTCATTCTTAAATTTAGTGTTTGCTTAACAAAAATTAATGGAATGTAAATTAATTTTACATATTTCTCTTTAGTATCTCTAATCGTAATCTCTATGAAATTATTAGTAAAAGGAAAAGATTGGGAAAGATATCAAGGGCAGCCAAAATATGACATTGATCTACATTTAAAGACAAAATCAGGTTTTAAATTAATATATTGTGCACTACTACTGTAGCTATCTATGTATGGTAGTTCGCATGTTAAATTAATAAACTGGTCACGGATTAGGTAAGTTCTCGTTTATACAGGTACACATATATTAAAGTGTTTAATATTATTATAAAATTATCTTTAAACGGGGCGTAGTATTAATTTGAGTTACTTATTTTTACTAAACTCTTTTTGTTGTTTGTTGTTTTAAAAACTTGTTTTAGGTTTTCAATGCTTTTAATATTTAGTTCTAGGACAATATATTTATAATTTGATTTAAAGAAAATCAAAGAAGGTTTTAAATGATTAATACAATTTTAAAATAATTATAAAAGTTTTAAAATTAAATTAATCATTAAGAACGAATGAAAAAATTTAGCAATTTCTAGAAATTGAATAGAAATAGTAACTACTAGGAGTAAAAAGATTAAATAAAAATTAAAAAATTACCGTCATTCCTATTTACTTGAACTAAAAAATCTTATTATATTGTTAAAGATCCCAAAAAGTTACTTACCATAATTAAACAATATTATATAAATCCAAAAACCCAGCACGTTCAAGCACGCATCACGCACGCACTGTAGCGTATTTTGATTTAAAATAGTTGCCGATGTCCGCACAATTTTAACTTGAGGCCGCGCAAGACCGGCTTTGCTGGAGACGATTTATCTGGTATAATTAACAGATTTTTTGATGACTTATTTATGCGAAAAGCTCATATATATCATCTTTAACAAGCTGCCATTTCCATGTTAAGACAATGTAATAAGTACTTCGCGAACGGTATGCAATTTTAACGTTATCATAATTTTTAGGATGTTTATTGGTTGCAAATTACTGTATTTTTTTCTAATACATATTAAAATATTAAGTAATGTTGGCCTTCCAATTTTTGGTATTAAATTTTCACGAAAAGCCCGTTATGGCAGTCAACAACAACAGCATGGCTGCAATAAAACCATTGCTACAGTCAATAAAAAAATTTAACTGAAATTGCCGCTATCAATTGCTATGACGAGTTATTTATAGATAACAACGTTTGTAAAATATAGTACTGCAGTTTGATGCAGTATGGGAGTAAAGGATCGCTAAGGTAATATTCTGATCTATGATGAGATATATGAAATCTAGTTTTTATTAAATCTCAGCGCAAGTTAGTGGTTCTTTCTTTAATTAATGTAGCATCACAAGTGAGCAAGTGGACGCAAAGCAACTTATGTTTTTCTTTTTCTAAAAAAAGTTTTGCAAATTTTAAGGCTTGAGTAAACTAAAGTATGTGTGGTTTTTTGATACTAATTTAAATAATACTCGTTGACATTGACCTAGAATACTGTAATGACCGACAAGATGAAGTTTGACATAAAACACTGTACTAGGTTATAAATAATTAAAGTGACATTGGACATTCAGAAACGTGTCACGATGTCCACTCACAATTAGTATTAGCGTTGTAACAATACAAGGATATAGAATATTCTAGTATAGTAGTAATAATAGTGATCACACATCACTGAACTACTATTTATTTTATTATTATTATACGTATACATTTTCGATGTTAGATTGTGTCAGAGAAGTCAGCTTTCTCTCTCAGCAGTCTGTTCTCAGAACTTTAAGATAAGTGATAATTTAAGATTTTTATTATTTATAACACTGAACCAACAAGTGCATCCCACGCAAGTTACAGATTAGTTTTTGTAATGCATCCTTTTAACTTAAAAACAGTGGTAATCTTTAACGTCGAAACTTGCTCGATAACCGCTCGAATAATAAATAAAACTGTTTTTGAGCACTCAGGGTAAAATTCAAAAAAGAGACTAACCGTAAATTATTACATCCCATTCGTCAAGAAGTTGGATTGCTTCAGAATTCACATGGCTATGTAGCCACCACAACTTCTTGACACGACAGGAATAAGACGCCTAAAGAGAACTAAACCTTTTAAGTTAATAAACCTAGTGTAGTGAATAAAAGTGCAAGTGCGGTATCTCGGAAACATGAACATAGTGTCAAAATGTTATAGAACACTAAGAACACTGTTAATGAACATTACCTTCGTTTAAGTTATACATAGTATTGTAGAAAATTAGGTCAAAATAATATTACTTATAAGCCATAATTATTGTATAGGCTTGATTGTTATTCATGTAAAGTCGCACTCTTTTTTTGTGAACTTTATTGTAAAAAAAAAATATTATTACTCCCATATGTCAACTTAAATATGTTTTGACACACGGGACTCATACTTTGAGCTAAGTCTCGTTTCTGAACGTAAGCCTCACTCTTATATTCAATTCGTTTATTGGTTCTTTAACACAGACGTCAGGTACTACTGTGGATATCGTAACTATTATTTTAATCAATTCATAAAGCACAAGCCCCATTTACATCAGCAAAAATATTAAACTTAATAAGAAAATCCTGCGACGTGGAAAAATACTCCGAGGTGAATTTTATAGAATTTTTATTTAATATTTTGCAACTATGCTTGATCTATTATGATGATTTATAATTAAAGGCATATTTTCAATGGCAGGTAAAATGAAACTAAGGTCAAACCATAATGTTAAATAATGAAAGTTTATAATTTTGAAAGGCTTTCCGGGTTCACGATAAACGGTAGTTATTTATTGATGAAGCTTGATCCTGTGACCTCAGGCCCCTGGAGTGTGATGAGTTCCACCAGACATACCCTCAGTATACCGGGATTTCTGCTTAGGCTATCAAAGCATCAGCTATTTTATTATAGAGTTTGTTAACTTCGTCATATTTAAGTCATATGTAACATATTACAAATTATGGTAATTTAATGTCGAATACATTTCGTAAGCTAAAACTTTATTCTCAGGTTGCATTTCGGAATTGTTTGGTGAGATTTAAAATAAGAAACTTTTATTATATCTAATTAGGATTTCATATTTTCTTAATTACGCATTTTATTGCCTATGTATGCAAATGGCTTTTTGTTTCATGAACTTTACGCCTGTCTTGTTTTACTGAGCAAAATTGTATCTTAGGAAATGGAATGTGGCAAATTTTTCGACCACAGAATTGCGTTATATTCTAAATATATCTGTGTTTGACTCAGTTTAGTAATTTGGTAAATTCTATTAAATATTATACTTAACTCATAATTGTAAAATCTTCTTAGATAAGTAACGAGCTTGACTAAAATCATCTTTTATTAAAATTCAATATCTAAGTATATGTTTCCCACATTTTAGTTATTTTTTAAAAAGTAGTTTTAGTGTAGCTTTTATTGGGTCACTAGTTTTTCAGGTTTAATATCCATTACTTTTATATTATTATTATATTTGGCCGTGTTTGCGACGACTTTGTTTGGCGTATATGCTACAATGAATAACATATTTGACGACTCCAACATCGTCCAATTTATAAAATGCACATGTGCACCGAATGGCGGTCGACAGACCACGAGAATGTAAGTGCGTGCTCCTATTTCACCTTGCCTCCTGTTGATAGAGGACACATCCTTTTTTTAATTTATGTTATTATTATAAATTACTTAAAATGTCACATGGGACATGGTGTAATGGTTGCAGCTCCTTACAAACATTTTGTAAAACAAAAAATGGCGATTAAAAAGAGTGGCGGAGTTTATTGCCAGTTCTTCTCTCCCGTTCTACGCCCTTGATTTGAGAACTGGCAGTAAATGTAAAATTAGAAGCATTAATATGTATTTCTTTACTGACATGTCATAAGTGTACATTATGTTACCTATGTGATTAAATGATTTTTTTACTTTTACTTTTACTTTACAGAACGCCAACTGAACCCACACTGGTTTTAAGAGAAAATCCGGTAGACCGTGGCTTCGTTGTTGGGATGGAGTTGTCGAAGACCTCTAAACAATAGGTGTTCGAAGATAGACGCAAGAAGGCGAAATATTCTTTTGGAGCCCATAATTGTACTACCAAATGGCTAATGTACCATAGGGCTGTACAACCATTAATGACGATGATGATGAATATCCATTACAAAAAGACAAAAATATATGTGTAGAGTAGTAATATGTCCGTAATAATATGTAGTATATCGTTGGGCATTTCATACGAGGTAATCAAAACATTGATTATATTTATATTTTATTATAAATTATTTATAATATTACAGGTAATAATTTATGATACATTATTGCTATAGTAGTCTTTATCGAGGTACAAATTTGACACTTCCACCATCAGCTGGTGCTAAAATCACACTGTAAGGGTCGCTTTCTACGTCATAAGGCACTGAGGGCTCCAATTTATATTTATGCACGAGTTGAGCTAGAGCCGTGCGCATCTGCATCATTCCGTATCGCTTTCCTGCAAATACAATATTTCAAAATTTATACGAATATCTTGGAAAATCATGGATTATTCAGTTTATTTATATTCAATTACATGCTATTTATCCGTATTAAATTAAGTTTACGTACTTATATTAAAAAGTATACGAAAACTATTAAAATTGAAAATTATTTTTTATTATGAATGAATGATCGAACAAATTTTAAATCATATAGAATGACGACATCCAACTATTTACATTTTGCATTAAAAATGATTACGATCAATAGCGATAATTCACACGCAAATTATATGGCGTCATATCATATGACTCGGAGACAATCTTTTTTATAATAACCTTAATGTTATTAGTTTCAACATACCACTTGTCTACGTGAGTAAAGTCACGGTATCGTTAATACTAATTATAAACATATTTGTGATAATGAGTTATTTGTTATTTATTTTAATTAAGGTTTTCGTGACGATCGTCACGTGGATAACGGAGCTCATTTGGCCGGGAATTCCGAATCCATACACAGTCTTTTTTTTTATTTGCCTAGGCTAAAATCTAATAGAAAAAAATGAAACAATTCCTAAACGAATATGTAAATGCAAGCGGATAATATTAATTGTTAATAGTTTGGGGGGAAAATTCGCAAACGTCTACGACAAATAAATAAGAAGGAATTAGGGATAAATACCTATCTTATATTCCATAATAAACATATTTTATTTTATACAAACAATTAGAAGCATTTAATATATTAAGTATATTTCTGTTTAGACGTTCATAAGTGTACATTGTGTTTGAATCAATGATTTTGTTTTTTTTAACAAGACGTCATATGAGCGCGGTATTCGCAATAAAATATTAACTTTTTCATTTTCTTAAATTTTGATCCGCATGTATAGTTATACAAACCTAAGTACCTAAGTAATAAAAATTGATAATAAAAAAACAGAACTGTTTAATTTATTACTAATAAAATTTATTTAACTTTGTCTTTAACCGCAACTGTTGATACAAAATTTGTTATTTAAATATAAATATTACTAAATCTTAATTTCTTAAATTTGTACTTTTAATTACTATGAAATTTATTATTAAATTAATACAATAAATGACATAATAAACTTTACATTATTTTAGATCATAAATTTTAATCTATTTTTTATATTACTGCATTTTTTTATATTAAATATTCACATATACAATATATTTTATATAACTCTTGTGATGACAATATGTAGGTACTAATCATTACAAAACATAGTTACCTATACAAAATCGTGGTCCTTCTCCAAATGGCATAAATGTGAATTGGACGTTATCACTGTCTGAAGCGGATGTGAATCTTTCAGGTTTCCATTTATTTGGTTCTGGGAAGTTCTTCTCGTCGTAATGTATGGCCAACACATTCACGAACACTGGGGTACCCTTTTCGATAACGACGTCATCGTTCAACATATACCGCTTGTTACATATCCTATCTAAATACGCGACTGGAGGGTACTTTCGCATTGTTTCTGTAAATACACGCGATCTTTAATAAGAGGTTCGTTCTTCCAACACACATATAATTCACAAATATAGACTTCTTTTAGATTCTCTTAACTCTTTAGTTGAAGTAAAATAAAAAAGTAAGGAATTTGTACTGTGGTGTAGCCCTCGAGGCACCACCATTAGTGGCATTTTGGGGTTTTTGTACTCATAGTTTGTAACATGTTATAATGTTTAAGCAATAGTAAACAAAAAAAGATACGCCACCTGAATCGAAGGGACCTATAACATTATGTTTAGTGATACAGATATAAGTTAACAGCTACAAATAATTCTAATCAATCATTAATTTTGATTGATGTATATGTATGAAATATAAATAATTATCTATTATCTTCATAATCTATCCATAATCTCTATTAAAAGCTAAGATAATTAAATTCATACATTGTGTATCAATGTAAGCGAGGAATAAAATGTTTACAAAATCAGTAGCATTACGTTGTAAATCTTGTTTTTTCCTTTTGATATGAACTTATACAATTATACTCAGTTTAAGGAAAGGGCAAACGAGGAAAAAACATACCTCTTAAACATCCAGACAAATACTTTTGCTCCATGAGGTCATCGTACTCGAGAATGGATTTTCCTGTGCGTTTGTACGCTTCGTCGATTTCATTAAATAATATTTCCTGTAAATTATAGAAAAGCTTAGCCGTGTTGATAGACTTAACTATATATACCGCTATTGAATATGTTAGTGTCGTGACGTTATTAAAAAAAAATTTAAAACTTTCTTATTTATAGGTCCGATTTATATTGCTAAGTCGAAATGTATAGAATATATATTCATGTAGTTAACTTATTGTAGTTACGTCATTTTTGAACGTAAATTTTTCTATATTTAATCTTGAGTTTTCGAATCAAGGGCGTAGAGGAATTGGCACAAATATAAGAGTCTTTCCTCCAACTTCGATTTTCTTCCCTTTGGAGTAGGACTCTTAGGCCGTAAGGTTCAAGTGCACAGGCGCATGTTAAAGATTTAAGTTGGCGTAGATAGTACCGGTGACCCCAGAGCACTTTCCTGACTCAACGAATAAGTATCGCAATACAGTGAGGAAATGCTGCCAGCGTTAAAGGTACACTGCCACAGGGACCAAACTTTTTAAATTTGTTTTGATTTTGATTTTGATTTTAATTATTTATATTGTTACTTTGTAGGTTAAGAAAATTGTAAATACTTGATTTTAAATAAACAATATTAACACTTAAATTACGATAAAAATTAAAAAAAAATCTAATGTTTTATAAATTATTAATAAGTGTTACTTTATGTGCGCCCGCCAAAATTATTATAATACATTATAACTTCTTAGGTCATTATTGTTGCCATACTGGTATGATTGTATCGAGGCTTTTTTAATCGTACTTTCAAAACCACATAAAAGCCGTAGTCAGAGTGGATCAGTAGTCTGTCTCTTATAGTAGTTTAATAAATAGTAGTGCAGCTCAGCTAGTATTCCCGAGTCTACTGATTTAGGGAAACAAGGGCACGAAAAGATGTTATCAACCTTCCAATGTTGTTTTGACTAATACAATTTACCCCTACCCTAACGACTATGAACCGCCAGTAACTTTTTTGATTTTCACAAAAAATGGAATAGCAATGAAGCTCAGTAGTATTCAATCGCAATATTGACGTACGTTTTAGGTAAGAATGTTACGTTATTTAAGTTTTTGTTGTTATATTCAGTTTTATTTGTTTATAAAATCCCTAGATAATAAAGTCGGCATTAAGCTGTTTTATAGATATACGTTATCCGAGTTTTCATTAAATGCTTAACAAAAAACGGAATGCGAAACTAGTCTCAAATTAACTTTGAGGAAACTCAAATAGTTAAACTACAAGCTAATGAAATACCTGTTCCTCGGGATGGTATGCGAGTTCGTGGAGGCAGTAGGAAAGTGTCGTCGACGAAGTTTCCACGGAGCCAAGAATGAATACAGCTGCTTGAGCTAACATTAAATTGTCGGCTAGGTCTGGGAAGAGATAAATGATACTCATAAAATATTAATCAAAAGAATACATATGAATTGTTATAGATTAAGTTACAGTCATATAGTACTCGCTCGCGATGTGTGCAATAGGTACTTATATGAAGAACTTGTACACACTCATTAGTTTTCACACGGCGTATAAAATTTAAGGCTCTTCGGACCCCGTAATTTAAAATATCGGGGAAATAGCGTAACTGCCCTTGTCATTATATGTCACTGGACTTTTGGCTTATATGACCATCTTGTTTGTAGGTAAATGTTTTACCTATTTAATACAATGGCGTTTTAAAGCTACATTAGACCTATCGACGAACTCTAACATACAAACAAGATTTACTAATATTGTTTTAATGTGGGTACATGGTACATACAACCAAATGGTCCTGGATGTATTTTACATTCAAAACTATAATTTTTAAGTGTCATAGGTTTTTTTTAAAGAAATATCTGGTATCGTAAGAATTACGTTTAGCTTTTGATAAAACCTAAAACCGAAATATAGGTAAACTGACCGGCATCAGAATTAGCAGGAAGCTTCAAATTGTCCTTCAATTTCAAAAGATGGTTAACGAGGTCCTTGTCGTTACTTGTTCCCTTACATTTTCTTTCCTCAGCCACATTCCAGAAAATCTTTTTAATATACTCTGAAGCCGGAGCCGAAAAGAACTTCATTCTGTAAAACGTTTCTGGTTATTGTAGGATATTAATATTTCATTTACTTTTTCTGAATATACTTATCTAATATAAAATTCTCGTGTCGCAGTGTTTGTAGTTAAACTCCTCCGAAACGGCTTGACCGATTCTCATGAAATTTTGTGTGCATATTGGGTGTGTCTGAGAATCGGACAACATCTATTTTTCATCCCCCTAAATGTTAAGGGTAGTCCCCTTACCCCTAAATTATTTTGTTTTAATTTTTAGATATTTTTTTTGTTTTAATTTTTTTATGATACAACATTAAAAAATACATACAACCCCTAATTTTCACCCCTCTACGATCAACCCCTATTCTTTATTGTAAATGATATACATGGCAAAACGACGTTTGCCCGGTCAGCTAGTATTATACATAATACTTATATTAATTAAAGCAGTTAATAAGAAAAGTTTGATCTAGCTAAATAACGATAGTTGTGCGCGTAATAGGTAATTGCACCAAGATTTATAGTTAATTATAAGTGTAAGTTATATATATAAGATGTCTAAGGTCCCATACCTGAAAAACGCCGCAACAGCTGGTACGAAGAATATCATTGTGAATTCCAGACCACGCCAGAATGTCCACTTCACCATGTGACTAGTAATGGCCCATAGTGGTGACAGCTGGTCGTTAAGCACGCTCACTCGTATACCAAAAACACTGTATGCGACTGTATCAGACGTGTACATTGAGAATAGTTCCTGTTTAAATATAAATTTATTATATTTTTGTTTTTGTTGGGGTTTACATAAAAAAACTATACTTAAACTCTATATGCAATGAAATCCATAAAGTCTTGCAATTATAATTATTAAATGCGCTTTAATCCGCGGTGTATTTCTTCTTGTATTAAACATTGGTCTAATTACATTTCTAAGGAGATATAATTTAAGTTGTGACACATTTAAAAAGAAACCATTTATAGTAGTTAATATATGTCAGCATATAATCATCTTATCCCAATAACGTCGTTTCAGTTTGCCCACCGTCCCAAGGCAAATTATTTTTGTATTATTTCCCGACAATAATTAATAAACGCCACCGATGTGCTAACCTGTGAACACAGTTGACTAATAAAAATAAGTTTCTCTAAGTAGTTGCTAGTTAAAAAAATATACCTTTAAATTAACACATTTCTTATTGTCAACGTAGTCTCTTTGCACCTTTTGTACGAGCTGCTCCGAGTTTATATTCATCAATTCGGTAATTTTCTTTAGCCTCAAAGAAGTGAACATTGGCGACAGTTCGTGTCTCATCTCCGTCCATGTTGGATTCTAAATCAAACATGTTTTATTAGATTTAGAAAGGAACATTAATATTATATTATTTTGCCTTGACGCGTCATAGACAAGGTACAAAAAGGGTAATTACTTCGTTATGACATGTTATTATTGATAATATAATTAATATGATTACAAATATCGGGAAAACTACGTTTCTGTTTATTGATATTCTTTTAATAGGCAAGAAGTTGACAAAATAATTTAATATTATACAAGCAAACTTCTTATATGTCGAAGTAAATGTTATCCGTATTCAATTATTATTATCAAATAATACATTGTTTTGCAATAAACCCATAAAATTCAGTAATAATAACTTATGGCGCTAAAACCCAGTTTATCACCGTGAATGCGTTATAATAGACGCTGCCACAGATACTATTTAACAGGTCAGTGAACTGGCGGATTCGTACTTTGTAAAACAAATACATAGAATATGTGGTAATCAAACTTTATAATTAATATTATTTTCATAAATATGCATCAATATTTTTAATTTGAATATTGCGTTGTAACAAGTCCGTCATAATACTTTTTTTAAATTAAAGTTGAGATAAAATTATTAAGACCATTATTATTTCCTTCATATTTTTTTAAAATTCAAAACTTTTAGTTTTAATAGTCAAAACCTTAATAAATAAGTCATATTTGTTATAATGCTTACGATTAGAAAACATGATATGTATCTATTTTATGTATATGATTAAGTATATAATAATTATTAAATAAATTAATATTATTATATCAGATTTTTTTAATGTTCTAATAAAATCGTGTCATAGTTTAAGTATTGTTAAAACTTACATAAAATAAAACTGTTTACTTCAGAGTCAACAGTGTACCTACTCAAGTAAATCGCAATAAAAACGAAAATCATAATTATAATAAAGGGCAGACCTTTAACGGGTAACTTAGTTTAAAAATAAATAAAAAAATAATGCCGAAAGTAGGAGGATATTAGCTATCAAACGCTCACCTTTTCTAATCGCATTAAGAAAATTAAAGGCTCAACTTTGAATTTCATCGAACAAGTCGTAAACATACAACAACTGAATTTAATTAGAACACTGGACTCTACATCTCATAACAATTAAATGAAGTCTGAAATAATTCAGTTAACGAAATAAGTTTTAGTGAACTTGTCAAAGGTACTGGGTACTTACCTTCACAGTGAATAAGTTCAAGGAGCCAAGGGGATCTGAGTGTCCCGAGTACAAATATCTGTCCTGAAAACTGTCGTGGTCCTTCACCAAAACTTTCCTAGCGAGTTCCGCTGTTTGCACGAATAATGCCGGTTTCCATGCCAAAAATACACCAACGTAGTCTCTCCGATATTTATCTTTTAATTCATTACAGAAGTCCCAAAAACTTTTCCTCATAATAAACCCCAAGTTGCCGAGGGGAAATGATGGCTTTACATATTCAATACCACGATTTGCCCAATAATTGAAATTTCTATTCACCAACCAATAAACTAAACCAAGAACGAAAACTGTTATATATAAGAACCATTGTAAAATTGGTTTATATGTTTGGACGTCCATCATCTCGGAGTGATGATAACTATATGAAGCATTATTTGTTACTATAGTGTTCGCAAGAGTTGATTCAATATTTCATTTTCCTGCTTATGTATGTCGTATCAAATCACTTGTTGATAAGCAATACTAACCTATCTTTATCAAAATAAAGTCAAAATCTTAGTTGTTGATAATAACATTGTTTAATGTTCTATAATACGTAGGTATATTTTTAATAAAAGATTAAAAGTCATTTATAACCATTAAATTTTTGCAAAATATAATTATATATTATATTATTATAATATAATTTCATTATTTTTCTAATTCTATATAATTTGAGTATTTTAGACCCTAAGAAACTTTTGTTTGTAATTTATTTTTAATTTGGTTTAAAACTGTCAAAAACGAATAAAACAAAGGCTCTCTCTCGGAAACGCCTACTGCTATTTAACATTCCAATATTTTATTTATTTTATTTATTTACACTTCGTTGCAAATAAAAGAAACACAATACATAAAAATTATAAGGGATGCAACGGGCGGCCTTATCGCTAATAAGCGATTTCTTCCAGGCAACCCTTGTTAAAGAGAAAAACAAAAAAAAAAGAAACATGATGCGTGCGAGAAGTGCAGAAACAAATGTTATATAAAAAAAAAATATAAACAGGATGTTCCAAAAGTCGACGTCAAGTCAAAATTTTCTCATAGGTAATGCCACACCAGTTATCAGAAAAATTAAAAAAAAAAATTAAGTCATGTATTTTTGAAGTTATGGAAATTTTCCTTTTATTCCAGAAAATGTACACCATGTGACAGTTTTTTCATTCCTGTTGTTACAAATATTTACTTTTTGCCAATTTTTTTTCTCTTACGTCATCCCGAATAGTGTTTTATGTAACCTATGATCCTAAACTCTGTGCTGATCACTCCAACTTTTAGGAAAATGTCATTTTATACCGTACCAAGTATTCAAAATTAATTTTCGCACTACTTCAACTGATCGTCCTGAAAAAAAAATGTATTACTCCAGTTCGGCAAGTAGCTTTAAAAGTTTGCGCATTTAATAAGGATTCTAACGTGGTATAATACTTACTTCATTATTTCTTAGATCGGCCATAAAAAAAATTTTTGTTAAACAAAGTCTGTTTTTTAAAAATTTCTCTGGAATTACAAAAAACGATTCTAGTGTACCCAAAGCGTTCCTAATAACCACAGCGTGGTTTAAATAAGATGGCGTAAAGTGTGAGCGAGACAGATAGTGACGCTACTTATTGCTATTGACACACGCGTCACGCACTACAGGTCAGTACGCAACGCTCCTTCGTTTACTACGCATCTTTTCGTATTCGCTGGTGTTATTTTGTGTTCTAACTACTTTGGCTTCGTTTACGGACTTGTTTGCTTGTGATTTGGATTTTACATTTGTGATCTACGACGACCTTTACTTTTCCCTGGACTTACGTGTTATTGTGTATTTGTACCATACCATGGCTACGTACACTACACAGGAATATGCTAACATGCACCTCATTTATGGGGAATGTTTATATAATGCCAGTGAAGCCGCTAGACGGTGTCGCGAGAGATACCCTAATGCAGATCGCTATCCGGATTTTTTACCAATGTGCACCGTCTACTGTTCTCTGAGGGCCGACTGCCAAACCAAGTGCACGGTGAAGGTAGAATTTCACTACCCTACGAGGCAGTTGTCCTTCAAGCAGTTGATGAGGACCCAAGTTGTTCGGTACGTGGAATTGAGGCCAGCACAGGTGTGCCCAAAAGTACAGCTCACCGAATACTACAAAAAAATGAGTTCCATCCATTTCATGTACAGCGAGTACAATCCTTATTACCTCGAGATTATGAACCTCGGGTTGCTTTTTGCCAAACAATAATTCAAAAACACCGAGAAGACCCACAATTCTTAGAAAAAAATTTATGGTCGGATGAATCAACTTTTAAAAAAGACGGCTACATGAACCTACACAATCTGCACGAGTGGCACGTCGAAAATCCACGATTGATGAGACCAGACAGATCACAGTACCGTTTCAAAGTTAACATGTGGACTGGAATTTTGAACGGAAAAGTCATAGGGCCTTTTGAGTTACCAAAAGTTTTAAATGCTGAAATTTATTTAGATTTCTTACAAAATCATTTGCCCAATTTGCTGGAGGACGTGCCGCTTACTATTTTACGAGATATGTGGTTCCAGCAAGATGGTTGTCCAGCGCATTACAGCCGCTTAGTTCAAAACCACCTTAACGAGGAGTATCCAGACAGATGGATAGGGCGGGGTGGTACAATCTCGTGGCCCGCCCGCTCACCCGATTTAAATCCTCTTGATTTTTTTTACTGGGGAGCAGTAAAGGAAAAAGTCTATTCCAAGTCGATTCAAAATGTAGAAGAGCTTAGACAGAGAATAGCGGAAGCAGTAGAATTTGTGAATAATGGACGATTTGCCCGCTTCATTTCACGATCTTTTTTAAGGAGATGTCGAGCCTGTATTGCAGCTGAAGGACGGCAATTTGAACATCTTTTATAAAAAAATCAAACGCTCACCTTTTCTAATCGCATTAAGAAAATTAAAGGCTCAACTTTGAATTTCATCGAACAAGTCGTAAACATACAACAACTGAATTTAATTAGAACACTGGACTCTACATCTCATAACAATTAAATGAAGTCTGAAATAATTCAGTTAACGAAATAAGTTTTAGTGAACTTGTCAAAGGTACTGGGTACTTACCTTCACAGTGAATAAGTTCAAGGAGCCAAGGGGATCTGAGTGTCCCGAGTACAAATATCTGTCCTGAAAACTGTCGTGGTCCTTCACCAAAACTTTCCTAGCGAGTTCCGCTGTTTGCACGAATAATGCCGGTTTCCATGCCAAAAATACACCAACATAGTCTCTCCGATATTTATCTTTTAATTCATTACAGAAGTCCCAAAAACTTTTCCTCATAATAAACCCCAAGTTGCCGAGGGGAAATGATGGCTTTACATATTCAATACCACGATTTGCCCAATAATTGAAATTTCTATTCACCAACCAATAAACTAAACCAAGAACGAAAACTGTTATATATAAGAACCATTGTAAAATTGGTTTATATGTTTGGACGTCCATCATCTCGAAGTGATGATAACTATATGAAGCATTATTTGTTACTCTAGTGTTCGCAAGAGTTGATTCAATATTTCATTTTCCTGCTTATGTATGTCGTATCAAATCACTTGTTGATAACCAATACTAACCTATCTTTATCAAAATAAAGTCAAAATCTTAGTTGTTGATAATAACATTGTTTAATGTTCTATAATACGTAGGTATATTTTTAATAAAAGATTAAAAATCATTTATAACCATTAAATTTTTGCAAAATATAATTATATATATTATAATATAATTTCATTATTTTTCTAATTCTATATAATTTGAGTATTTTAGACCCTAAGAAACTTTTGTTTGTAATTTATTTTTAATTTGGTTTAAAACTGTCAAAAACGAATAAAACAAAGGCTCTCTCTCGGAAACGCCTACTGCTATTTAACATTCCAATATTTTATTTATTTATTTATTTACACTTCGTTGCAAATAAAAGAAACACAATACATAAAAATTATAAGGGATGCAACGGGCGGCCTTATCGCTAATAAGCGATTTCTTCCAGGCAACCCTTGTTAAAGAGAAAACAAAAAAAAAAAGACATGATGCGTGCGAGAAGTGCAGAAACAAATGTTATATAAAAAAAAATATAAACAGGATGTTCCAAAAGTCGACGTCAAGTCAAAATTTTCTCATAGGTAATGCCACACCAGTTATCAGAAAAATTAAAAAAAAATTAAGTCATGTATTTTTGAAGTTATGGAAATTTTCCTTTTATTCCAGAAAATGTACACCATGTGACAGTTTTTTCATTCCTGTTGTTACAAATATTTACTTTTTGCCAATTTTTTTTCTCTTACGTCATCCCGAATAGTGTTTTATGTAACCTATGATCCTAAACTCTGTGCTGATCACTCCAACTTTTAGGAAAATGTCATTTTATACCGTACCAAGTATTCAAAATTAATTTTCGCACTACTTCAACTGATCGTCCTGAAAAAAAAATGTATTACTCCAGTTCGGCAAGTAGCTTTAAAAGTTTGCGCATTTAATAAGGATTCTAACGTGGTATAATACTTACTTCATTATTTCTTAGATCGGCCATAAAAAAAATTTTTGTTAAACAAAGTCTGTTTTTTAAAAATTTCTCTGGAATTACAAAAAACGATTCTAGTGTACCCAAAGCGTTCCTAATAACCACAGCGTGGTTTAAATAAGATGGCGTAAAGTGTGAGCGAGACAGATAGTGACGCTACTTATTGCTATTGACACACGCGTCACGCACTACAGGTCAGTACGCAACGCTCCTTCGTTTACTACGCATCTTTTCGTATTCGCTGGTGTTATTTTGTGTTCTAACTACTTTGGCTTCGTTTACGGACTTGTTTGCTTGTGATTTGGATTTTACATTTGTGATCTACGACGACCTTTACTTTTCCCTGGACTTACGTGTTATTGTGTATTTGTACCATACCATGGCTACGTACACTACACAGGAATATGCTAACATGCACCTCATTTATGGGGAATGTTTATATAATGCCAGTGAAGCCGCTAGACGGTGTCGCGAGAGATACCCTAATGCAGATCGCTATCCGGATTTTTTACCAATGTGCACCGTCTACTGTTCTCTGAGGGCCGACTGCCAAACCAAGTGCACGGTGAAGGTAGAATTTCACTACCCTACGAGGCAGTTGTCCTTCAAGCAGTTGATGAGGACCCAAGTTGTTCGGTACGTGGAATTGAGGCCAGCACAGGTGTGCCCAAAAGTACAGCTCACCGAATACTACAAAAAAAATGAGTTCCATCCATTTCATGTACAGCGAGTACAATCCTTATTACCTCGAGATTATGAACCTCGGGTTGCTTTTTGCCAAACAATAATTCAAAAACACCGAGAAGACCCACAATTCTT